GTGATGGGCTGCTTTTCTGACCGCGGGATGAGGGCGACCGATTGATACTTAACTCAGCTCTAGTTTCATTTTCCTCTTCCAATCTGGAACGGATTGTCCGGTTCTCTTCTGGAGACATCACAGCAGGGAGATGATTGTCTTTGGTCATCTCAGGAGCTTTGGAGGTGTCTGAAGCACTGTCCTCCACCTGCTGCTCTGTAGCCTTTAGTCTTTCTGAGACGTGGGTGCTTACAGTTGGGGGCAGATGAATTGAGTCTTGGACCTCTCTGGTCAACAATGCATGCCCCCCCCCCCCCCTGGGGTGTCGCTGCTCCAGCTGAGGTGACACACTGGCATGCTGGGTAATGTTACATCACGGTTGTTGTCAGTCAGCCCCGCCGTGGTTCCTTGGAGGGTAGCGTCACCTCGACGTCGCGCTCTCAACGTGATAAAAGCATTTAAAAAGCATCGGATATCATTTCACACGCTTTCATCTCGAGCCAAAAGACAATTCGAAAAGGTTGCAAAAAAGAGCCGCCTACTTGATCGGCGTCACTTCAGTGCTTTTGTTGCTGCAGTCGTCTGTGTGGAGGGATGGTTTGTACAGCCAGCCGGAGTAACCCCGACAACCTAATCGCTTTATGTAACAGTTTGTTACGTTAAATGATTTAATGGGCGATTCACATCAACCCTGTGTGACTGAAACGGAACCTTGTGACCTTTAAATCCACTTGTTGTTGAATGAACGCCGTGTCAATCTCTTCTCAGAAAGCAAGACGCTGTTTCATCAAACCACTTTGTGGATATTTATAGATTCTCATCAGCGCACTACGGCGTCTTATATTACGTCATCCATCGTTCGCTCTCATGTATTGATCGATTTGTCCCACAGCCCTTTAAATACGTCCACAGTAAGTATTCAAAGGGATCACAGGCCATAAAAAGAACTATTTGGCAATCGTTAACATTATAATGAACATAATGAATTTAATTGGGTGTAAAGTGTAATAAATAATACATATGTTACTGACAGAACATGACTTGTACCTGGATGGTGCAATGTAGTACAACATTCTATTGGGTCATCATAATGGATGGTTCAGGTTTTTCATATTCGATGACGCGGTGTATTTAAATGTATTTGGCAGAGGTTTGATGCAGTACCTGCTCTGTTTTAAGTGAAGCGTATAAACGTGGAGCCATTTGTCAGTTCTCACGGTAGAAAGTGACATAAAGTGTCCTCATGGGACACGGTGTGGGGGAATGCAAATAAGAACACTTCTCACCTTGTGTCATCGTCCCGATGGTCTCCTGAGGTCATGAGCAGACGAGGTGGAGATGGAGAGCGAGAACCGCCGATGAGTTATTTTGTTAGTGTACAGGTGCAGACAGCAAGCTGTGCTGCTCATCCAGCTACAACAAACTAGTCCCCTGAGCCCTGCGAGGTTGCTCATATATCTCATTTACCTCTTTTCCATATATGGAAATGTAGCTGGATTTAATTCAGTGTATTCAGAGTCAGAAGGTGGGTGAGTCAGCGTCGTGTGGAGCACACAGGGATGGTGGGCGCCAACACACAGTGGAGATGAACACAGGAGACACAGGGTGGATGAGTACATGATAAAAGTTATATTTCATATACCATGAAATATAATGCAGCAGCAATAATCATTTGGCACAATAATATATAATATATAACAAAAGGTATGATAGTATTAGATTGACAGGCAAGCAGTGGCGGCTGGCCAATGAAGGGCAATGGGGCGTCGCCCAAAGAGCTCAAAAAATAAAAGAATATGTATTTTTTCTTTGTTTTTTTCTCAATATACATAATATATACTTAGAAAATATGATCTCCGCGCAAAATATATACTTTTTGCTGCACGTCCTTAACTGTCGTTTACCTGACGGGCTCGTTTAGCTGCGCTGGGGGCGGGTCTAAGAAGCACCTCAGCCAATTCCTGATTAAATTTAAGCGTGACATACTATTTAGCCAATCAGCGTCCTTGAACACACTCGTCTTGGGGAAACGTTGTTTGTCTCCAAGCTCGTGCGATCTCGTCCAGGCTGGTAGCGACTGACGGGGGACAGTCCAGGGTGGACATCGTCTCTCGCGTGATGTTTGATGGGATTGAAGCCATTTTCACCGCTGAGTCATCAATTCAGAAGCTGATTGGTGGCGATTGAGCTCCGTAGCAGAAAACCTCCGTGAACAAAGGGCATTTGTGGTTCTATTGGCCACTACGTCGACACAATGTCCCGACCGGACGATGGACCTGAACCCAAATGCACAACACAACAATAAAAGTTTATTAACAAAAAGGCAGCAAATGAAAATCACTCTTCATGGGGGAAAAAAGCCCAATGCTTAATTAATAACATCTAAAGGATTTAAAACAGAAAGCGAGCGTGTTGGCTTGGCGGTGGACGGTGGACACATGGTTCTCTGTGACATGGGACAAGACAAACTGGCACAGGACAAAGGGAGACGCCGACAATATATACACACATACACACACACACAGGGCACAAGCAGGGGCAGGACCGACATTTTCAAAATAAAATAGGAAATCACGAGACAACCTGATTATCACCGCTTCCTGGACATGACACAAAAAAGAAAAAAGGGGGGGGGCATAAACTGGATCCCCCCCTCCTGGATCAAAATAAATCAAATAAAACCAAAACAAAATAAAGCCTCTGTTCGTCCAGCAAAGTTAAGACTAACTTTATTTATTAGGCTTTCCTGAGGTTACGAATACTAACAAGCCATTAATCATCAACGCTGTTCATTAATCGGACCAACTAACAGTTTGCAGTGGTGGATCTCATCATACATTCACTTTAATTATAAAATAATGCGACCCCAGAACAAGGATTAATGCCCTGATTGTAGAAGCATGCTATTGCATAACGGCTGCTCCACCAGTGTTCTTTATCTCCTCTTGAGAAGCCTCCATGACAAACTTGTTCTAGTGCGACAGCCGGCAGCGCCGCGGGCAGCTAAAAGGCTAAACGCCAGGCTTGTAATTGAGATGTAAAGCAAAAGCTCAGCATGGCCCGTTAAACATAATTGCCCAAATTTGGTTGCGTAACCGGACGGGCTGCGCCCCCCCTCTCCTCCCCCTCTCCTCCCCCAGCGCGGCACTCTGCAGAAACATGCCACGCATCCGACCGGATTGAGACACGAGGCGATGCGCAGTCCGACTTTATGTAAGGAAACATGGCCGCCGCTGCGAGGGGAGGAGAAAGGAGAGAGGAAGAGAGAAGGATGTTACCGACCGGCCTCTGAGCCAATGCTGCGACAACAATGAGCCTTTATACAACTCAGGGGTTAATCTCCATGCAGCTGGTCTGAGGACGAGTACCTGAGTCCTTCTCCTGAGGAGAATGCAGATGAATCTATGTGTGTGTGTGTGTGTGTGTCGCCAGATGCTGTTGTTGATCGTCTCTTAACACACGAGTGGGTGAGGCGAACACAGGGCGAGGCGCAGCAGGCACCTCGGGGGGCAGAATGTGGACCAGACGGCTCGCTCAGTCACCACGATGAGACACGTCCAGCTGGACCGATCCGTCTGTCCAGGCCGCGGGACAGAGCGCCGCTCAAGTTGCTCGACGAGTCCGCGTCTCACGTCTTGTTGGTCTGCAGGCAGCGCTCGCTGGCGATCATTCCATCGAGTGAGGGAGACGTTCTGTGTTTGTGTATTGACGTCTCACAAAGACTTGATCTAAAGACGTGATCCTGTGAAGGTAAACGGGGGATTGCTTCAGTAGTAGTTGTGCTTATCAAGGCATAAATATTGTGTCACTTCTTTCCCAGTGATGTCTGCGTTACCCCGTGAGTCTCGGACAGACAGCAGTAACACCTTTTATTGGGAAGCAATCTGTGGTCCAGCAGGTCAGAGCAGATCAGAGAAGAAAAGAAAGAACTGTGATGATTTCACAGCTTCTACAGATCGCTGTAAAATGGAGGAAGGCTGCAGCTACAGTTGATGTTAGGATGCGTAACGGGCCTTTAGAGCTGCAGCTTGCTGTGGATTTTTGTGGAACTACTAGTGATCCTGTCATATGTCTGTCTTCCCGTTTGTCTCTAACTGAGCAGACACATCTAATAATGTGACAAGTCGTTTCCTCGTCATCTCAAGAGTCCAAGATAAACCCTACGACCTCTGGAGAGGCCCAGCGGTTTGGTGTGTGGTGCTGTTTGAGACACCAGACCACTGATCCCTTAGTGCTGCTGCTTCTCCTCAAGCCTCCATCAAAAGGTTCATCAGAGACTCGGATTACTCCAATTCAGTCAGGAGAAACTTCTGCAACGTTAACAACGTTCTATTCAAACAGGGATAAACATTTATAGTGCAGAGTAAGTTGTTGGGGCTGGGACCATCCTGCTGTAGGGTGAACCAGGGGCCCGGATGCCCAGATGAGGTGAGGCGTATCCCCCCTCTGGGAGTCCAGACGCTTGATGGCACCGGTGCGATTGGTTTACGGAGCTTAGCGGTGATTGGCTCTTACTAAACAAGCCCTTCCCGCCTGAATTCATCACTAATCTTGTTTCTCGCTCTTTCCTCTTCATGTTTTCCTTCTCACCCCTCTGGAATATGTTTATTTTTATTTTTCACCGTCGGCTCGTCAGCTGCTGCTGTTATCCAGGGCAGCTTGAAGTCGATGGGTAGGAGGAGTGTGTCACCTTGCCCAAGGGCTTCTTGGCAGTGATGTGTTTAAACGGTATAATTAGTCATGAGTCTAAACCATTGCTAGTATCTAGTGTTTTGGGGTAATTCTTTAGATGTTGGGTCAACATTGCCCCTGTTAAGCCTGATATCCCTTATCAAATATTGTCTGTCTTCTCACACTATTAATTCCATTCCATGTTTGAAGTATTCCTCTTGAGAATGGAGACCATGAACGTATGACGTCACGGATTTGATTCATTACCAATCCATATTTTCTCAATAGTCAGCCGACTAAACCAAAGACCTGTTTGTGCGTCATCTTCCTTCTCTTGTGTTTGTCTCCAGCCCTCCCCTGACTCCCACTAGGACCTTCTCTTCCCCGTTGGAGACCTCCTCCACCCCCCTCATCCAGCAGCCATGGCAGAGGACGCAGACATGCGCAATGAGCTGTCAGACATGCAGCAACGCGCCGACCAGCTGGCCGACGAGGTGAGAGCAACGAGCATCAAGGTGGCACGTCTCTGCACACGTACCCACGGACGTTCCTACGCACGTACCTGTCTGTCAGCACATTGTCAGCGTCCAGTTGATTGACAGCATGCGAGTGAGCCTCTCAGAAGTCGATAACCGTCTGAGACCGATCCCCTCTGTGTCCCGCTAATTGCTCGAATTGACTCATTTGTTGGGATACGAGCTTGTTTATCAATCAACATGAACACAATCAACATGCTTTAGACAAGAGGGATCCGTCTCCCCCAGATTCTCCCTCCTGATGTCAAACAGTGAATCGCGTCCCGTCACTGAAGTGTCTTTCATTCCTTCACAGTCGCTGGAGAGCACTCGCCGTATGCTGCAGCTGGTGGAAGAGGTAAGACAATTAATACAACTTTAGCTTCACCGATCACATGTCCATCGCACGCTTTGAGCAAAGCATTTTTCGGGTCCATAGTTTGAGGGACATTTTATTTGATCCGGTCTGTCTGTTACTGCCATTGAAATGCTGATTTTAGCAATTTGGAAACAAAGCAGAGACTCCAACCAGTAGAGCAGGCACACAGTGTAAATGAACATGCCAAAAGTTTGGTTAGAAGACTACTGCTTGTATGCAAGTGAATTACATTGATACAACATTTGATCACATAGACCTTTTTATCTATTATCTATCGATTTGGCTCATATCCCCAAATGTAAACTCTTCTTGGAACCTCTTTGCTGCTACGTACCTGAATAGATTTGAGCTTATCCAAGAACATTTAAGTATTCTTATCTGAACTATATGACGTGCATGAGGAATTCCACATGTTTGGGTAGAATCGGGTGTCTATGAGAAAAAGCACAATTAGCACCCTGGGTGTCATTGAAGGGACCAGGTGAGATAAAGGAACATCTGTACTTTTTAACCTGCTAAAGTCAACTAATTAGAGCTGTGCGGTGTGGCCAGAAATCCATATCAGGGTATTTACAAAGATTCTGACGGTATCCGGTATGTGTGAATACATTGATTCATTGACCCCGAAAAGGACCGCCGGCTCCCCGAACAGCTGTTCTCCCAAAAACTGTGATAAAGCAGACAAACAGCCAACGATTTAATTCAAAATGAAAGCACATTTGTAAGAGGGAAAACTCTGCAGAATCACTTATACGGACAAACGACAGAAAGGAGGAAGACGCCGTGAGGCTGAATGAAGCAGATGTTACAGAGATGTTGGTGAATATATATATATATATATAAATATATATATATATATATATATAGAACGCTGTGATTGACTGAAATTGAAAGCCAAGGAGAAAGAGTGACACTCCGACCAGCAGACAGAGATGGAGGGAAGGAGGACGTACGAGGGGAGACAGAGTCGACAGCTGTGGCGTCTGACAAGCCCTCAAGGTCACATCGATCACCCTTCGACGCGTCTCCCCACCACGCAGCCACGCCCCCAACGCCGTGCTGCAGGCCGCCGTCGATCCCGCTCCTCGTCCCACAGTCAGAAGAGTGACTGAGGAGACGATGGATTGCAAAGATACATAGAAAAAAAGGAAAAGTAGTTTCTGAATACAAAATCCTCCCTGAGGTGGTTTTTGACTACAACTATAAATTGTTCATGTTGCCACACAGCAAAACAAACGGGAATGTGTCCACTGGAGTGCAGAACCCTTTTGACCACTCTGGGACTGAATTACAGAACCCTTTATGCAGCAGTTTCCTCATTGCTCCCCCTCTCGCCGCTCAAACATCCATCCCAAACTGCTGAGGCGGCAGCTGGGGGAGGATACCTGCCGGTGTGTGTGCACACTGACTCACCATAATCCTATTTATGCCTATCGAGTCCTAGCAGGTGGCACATGTCAGCATTTATATGGAGCAGAGTGTGGATATCCTACACCTCATGCATGGAAACCTGCAGCCACCAGAGACCAACAGCCACAGTTTCTCTGCTCGGCCGAGGGATTCAGAGCAAGATGTGAACGCTGGACGGCGAATGACAGACGATTAAACATTTTAAAATGGGGACCGGGAGAGGAAATTAGATATAGATAGTGTCCCTCACACCAAACGCGACCCCACTAGACTATAGTGCACTTTATTCAGTGCAGTGATGCGATGTTGTAAAACTGCAGGACGCCAGTGACGACGGGCGCCGCATCTCAACGCTGACAAGCTGTCGCGCAGCAGCGTCGCGCCTTTTAGTCGCCAAAGTTGAAAATGTTCACCTTTCGCATTTGCTGCATTTGGTTATTTGATACTATTTAAATTTGCCACAAACTCGACGCGTGCCCGACTCCACCTGCAAGTGGATCACTGACTTCCTGTCTGACAGGAAGCAGCACGTGAAGCTGGGGAAACATGTCTCAGCCTCTCGGACCATCAGCACCGGTTCCCCCCAAGGCTGCGTTTCTTCCCCTCTGCTCTTCTCCCTGTACACCAACAGCTGCACCTCCAGCCACCAGTCCGTCAAGCTCCTGAAGTTTGCGGATGACACCACCCTCATTGGACTGATCTCTGGTGGGGACGAGTCCGCCTACAGGTGGGAGTCTGACCATCTGGTGTCGTGGTGCAGCCAGAACAACCTGGAGCTCAACGCTCTAAAGACAGTGGAGATGGTTGTGGATTTCAGGAGGAACAGAGCCCCACCCTCCCCCATCACCCTGTGTGACTCCCCCGTCACTATTGTGGATTCCTTCCGTTTCCTGGGCTCCATCATCACCCAGGACCTCAAGTGGGAGCTGAACATCAGCTCCATCACCAAGAAGGCTCAGCAGAGGTTGTTCTTCCTGAGGCAGCTGAAGAAATTCAACCTGCCAATGACGATGATGGTCCACTTCTACACGGCCATCATGGAGTCCATCCTCTGCTCCTCCATCAGCGTCTGGTACGCTGCAGCCACAGCCAAGGACAAGGGCAGGCTGCAGCGTGTCCTCCGCTCTGCAGAGAGGCTGATCGGCTGCAATCTGCCGTCCCTGCAGGACTTGTTCGCTTCCAGGTCTCTGAAGCAGCTAAAAAGATCGTGGCCGACCCCTCTCACCCCGGACAAAACCTGTTTGTGCCCCTTCCATCTGGCAGGAGGCTGAGGTCCACCAGGACTAAGACCTCCCGCCACACCAACAGCAGTCGGGCTCATCAACAGAGCCGGTCCCCCACTGACTATAACATTCCACTGGTCACTCCCCTTCACACTGCACACGTCACTTTAACTGTCATTTCTTACTTTGTCGTCACTCGTCACTTTGTCACTTATTCGCTAGTGCACTTTATGTTTAATATTTTTTTTACTTTTTTAATATTTTAAATGTTTAACTCTAACTTTATTCCCTTGTTTTATACTAACCCATAGCCTTATTCTACTAACCCATTGCATTAGCATTTCATTTTACTTTATTTTATTACTTGTGCACTGCTGTCTTGTTGTCTATTGTCACACTGTCTACTGTCACGCACCAACCGCCAAGACAAATTCCTTCTATGTTTGACATATTTTGGCAATAAATGTTTCCTGATTCCTGATTCCTGACCGAAACTCGTCCCTACGTTTTACATCTAATAACACAGAATGTACAATGGTGACAAAGCGCTGTGAGTTTTTTGGTGAAAAGTGAAAATGTGGCTAACGAGTCATTTGTGTGAGACTTGTGTCTGACTGTGTTTGTCCTCCCTTGGTCCCCGGCTGTGTTTGTCCTCCCTTGGTCCCCGGCTGTCTGTGGGAGTAGAGCAAAGATGCCGGCATCAGGACTTTGGTCATGCTGGACGAGCAGGGAGGTAAGTGTGCACGAGAGGAGAGGCACACAGACACCACAGCTGAGCTCTCCACATTCAACTAATGAATCTTTATAGTCCTGGATTCTGGTTCCATGCACATATCAGCAGTTTCACACGGGACCTGCTTCAAAACACGTGTGAATTGATTGACTGTTTCATATGCACCGGCTTGCTTTCATTTAAACTAATTTCTAAACTAATTCATGTTTCCTGATTTGATTAAGTCTTCTGATATAATGCATGGTTTATTTGTTTAACTTTTGGAACGTTTCTTTCAGCTTCCTTTAACCTTTGTTTCCTTGGCTAACATTATTCTTTAGTTTTGGTACGCCTTCCTGCTCTTGATTTGTCAGCACCGTTCTATCATTTTCACCAGTGAACAAAAGCAGCTGAAGAAAATCTTATCTTAAAAGTGCACATTCAACCCTAATATGCACAACATTGACTGCTGGGCTGTTCATAGATCTGTTTGTGTTTAAATCCTCTCCTGAACCTATGGGAAGAAAACGGTTTGGACCTTAAAATGATCAAATTACAGAAGTGATGGAGGCGTCTCACCTATTGAACTCAGTGCCAGCAGGGAATTGACATATTCTGTCTATTAGTGGGAATAAGTGGCAGCAGACTTTACCTCTACAAAGACAAAGGAAGGATCTGCACACTGGATTAAAAACTCCCCTTTTGACCTGTTGTCCATCTCACCAGACGTACAATCCCAACGGGGCGTCGGCTGCATTCACTTGCTTCCTTATCTCGCTATTAAGACAGAGATCTCGCCCATTAAAGCAACTAACATGTGGACACGAAGCCTTTCCTCACTCCGGTGAGGGGAATCTGCACGGAGGAGATTAAATGTACTCAAACAGATCAGAGCCGCTATGAAATACAACAAGAGTGTTTATTGTCTGTTGAAGTACACAGACTCTATGAGAAGGGAACCTTTACATCTATACGACTAAAACTACTATTTGGAAAAGGAAAAAATACGTAGTAAATGATAATAATCTACTGTCGTGCACAAATAAATATGTGTGACGTTTTTTTGTGAGTTGACATTGACCATCGAAGGGATGGTGAAATGTGGTTAAAAATGCAGAGTGTGCAGATCTTTGTTTCATCGAGCTCCTGCTGTTCAATAAAGCACTTTTTGAATTTGTACATTTAACCCTTTTAAACTATTAACGCTCCCAAAGGCCCAAACAGGTGTGAGAACAGCTCAACAGGCCCCGCCCCCTTTGTGACCGTCTAGAGGAGTAAAAGCAAACGATCGATTTAGCTGGTCGACAAAACATCCAATCGCTGCTCGATCAACACATTCGCTGCTTTGTACAATCCCTGGTTTCCTTCCGTTTGTTAATAAGCCCCTCAAGTCCACGACGACTCGGCTCTCCTCCCGTTCGGCTCAGAGAGAGCAGAATGGCGTCAGACCACTTCGCTGTGACCCCCCGGCTCAACATGGATCCTCACTGTTATTACATTTACATAAATACACGGCAACCAGGGGTTTTACAAATCCAACAAAAGTCGGTGAATCACTTTTTGAATCATATTTAAGTGTGCTTCACGCGTTTTCACTCTGCTTGCACCATATTTCCTTTGATCACAAACAGGATTGAGGAGAGTTTCCACTTTGGAAAAGTCACAATCCAGAACATCAGCCTGAAGAAAGGCCTCCAACACAAAAAGTTACACATATTCAACAAAAAGCAGGCAGATCAACGTAGCCACTGTGTGGCAGCAGAACGTAACTTTAGGTGAATAAAACGAGTTTTAGAAATGATAGTGGGCCCTCAATTAAAATCAGTTATGTTTGAATACCATTTGAATAATTGCAGTGTATACTATTAATATATAATAATAGATAGAACATTTACATATTAACATTTATATAAATAGATGTTGGATTACATTAGATGATGGATAACCCTTCATCTCACTGTCCTGATTGTAAAGTCTTCAGGATTGGGAAAAAAGTCGCTCTTAGTGTCGCTCAATGCTCACATCCAGCCGTTCAGTGACATTTCTTTGCTTTGGTCTGATAAAAGTATTAGATATTGGCTCTGTACACACAGGTTTGAACAGAGCAATCTCTTACTCTTTCAACACGTAAAGTGTCTTTATGAACAATTCCTGCATTAATTTGACATGTTTTAATTGGGGTGTATTTGCTCTTAGACCAGAGGATTGATAATTGAATTCTCACCGATCTATTCATCTAACACCTACTTATCTGCCTCAGCGTGCTTTCCCAAAATGTTGGACTATTCCTACCATCCATGTTAAACTATTTACTGACGTTACTTCATATTTCTGACCAACAAGTTCCTGAAGTGCCCATAAACTTAATTCAATCCCCCCAAATAGGTGCACACTGCAAAAAAAGACTTAATCGCAGACCATAAATGGACTGTACTTTGTAGTCTATAGTGTCCAAGGACACATGGACATGCGGGTCAGCCGGGCCTGGGATCAAACCGCCAACCCTCTGATTGGAGGACGACCTGCTCCCCACTGACCCACAGTCGCCCAAACACATGCACACACACACATTAGGGTATGACAATTACTGCTCATCCTAACTCATATTTCTGTCAATCAGTCGGTGAAATTCATTCCACTACTGTCATCCCTTTGTCCTGACCAGAGCAACTCGATCGTGTTGAAGATGGCATGAACCATATCAATCAAGACATGAAGGAAGCCGAGAAAAATTTAAAAGATTTAGGGAAATGCTGTGGGCTTTTCATATGTCCGTGTAACAAGTAGGTACTGACAATGTGCCCCAAAGGTTCTTACATATGTGGTGGCGTCCAGTTTTTCCTTTTTTTAAACTTTTACTTTCATTCGTCACAGTGAGTGTCTGAAGTTGTTGTCTTCTCTCCTTTTGTCCTCTCTTCCTCACCTCTTCCTTCCTTCCTCCTTCCCTCTCTTCTCGTGCTTCGTTCTGTGGGGGATAAATGACTTGTGTTTAATCAGAGCAACTGGAGCGCATCGAGGAGGGAATGGACCAAATCAATAAGGACATGAAGGATGCAGAAAAGAATTTGAACGATCTAGGGAAATTCTGTGGCCTTTGCTCCTGTCCATGTAACAAGTAGGTGCTGCCTGCCTGCCTGCCTGTCATTCAGAAAGGAGAGTCAATATCAATAACAGTCTGAATGTGATCGGGGTAGAAGTGACATCACGACGGCCATCAGACAATAGTCCGCTCTGCTCCATCTCCACACAAATCCAGATGCAGGCCAGGATACGCACACAGACAGCACACCGCACACTTTAAGTCAAACTCAAATTGGATTTCTTCACTAAAAGTGGAAGGAAAATCTTTTCTTTCATTTCTTAACGGTGCTATTTTTGACATATTTTTGGACAATGGCTGTTGACACTTGATAATGAATAATGATTGTGGACGTCCGTCACTTTACACATTTCCACATTTCTACATCTGTCAGGACCCATTAAGCTGGCAAGTTTTTATCGTAAAATGAAAACTAGCAAGCAAGCTTGTTGTACAGATAGTTTCTAGTCTGGCCTCTGATACCCACCGGACGGTATTTTTGAGCTTGTACACACATTTAGCGGTGTGTCCCTGTCAAGGATCCCGATGTGTCAAATGACTAGTCTGCCACAACCAACGGGCAGTCAGAAGCTCTCCATACGTTACCCAGGTATTATGACTCAAAACACAGAGTAATGTGGGAACGCTCAAATCACAGCTGATTCTCCAATTATGGCACCAATCAGATGCCGGCAGAGACACCGTCAGGCGGCACCCAAAGACTTACGCCCCCTGCACACAAATGGGAAGGAATTTCAATTTCAGTTTAATGCTAATCCAAACAATCTGCAGACTCATACTGATAACCATGGGCACATGTCTTGTGTTCTTATGACATAGATACCCTAGACTGCCCTCCAGACATCCCAGAATTCATATCTCCACGATTGGCAAGCATCCCAAAGTCGATCAGTCTGAGGCATTTTCTACATTTTCTTGGCCTGTAATAAGAAGAACGTGTAGAACCTCCTTCCCCCCTTCTTTGCTGCCGGCTCACAGTTGAGCAGAATGAGACCCAAATCCCATAAAGCCAAACGTCCAGTCCTCCACAAGCTTCTCTCCACTCAATGTCTCTCTTCAAACCCTTTGACCCTTCTCAGAGCGCCCTGTCCCCTGTGCTTCCACTTCTCCAAACACCTTCAGAATGGGAGTTATTTACATGCGGATGTAGCCACTGCTTCCTTCCTGAAGAGGAGTGGTTTGGTTTTAGTATAAATACAGACTTCTACAAGGGTCTCGCTGCGGCCGTCTCTAAGATCACGTGATGTGTCGACTCCAGCCGGAGCTCCGGTGACCTCCGCCCCAAAATGCCTTCGGTCAGCCTGGTCTGGGATTGTTTGACTCTTCTCCTCATCTGCATGACCACCACCCGGCCGCTCTAACATCCAGTATAGCCTCACCTCTTTGTGGCAACAAGACCTTTTAGTTTCCCTCTGAGCACGCCCCCCCCCCCCTCTCTGACAACCACTGGTTTGAAGTGCCAATGACATGGAATGAGTGGCGAGCATGACCCCTTTGAATGCCCATGCATGATGATGCAACTCCTGCCCGCAGCACCACACATGATGATGCTGATGACAACATTGAAGGGGGTGTTAGGGAACCCTAACCCTAACCCTAACCCTGGGCTGCTTTCCTCAGCAGCAGAGAGACAAAATTGATGGGTCTGAATTCAAATCTCGGAAGAAAACATTTAAACACTTATTCAGATACGTTTCCTGAAGGTAATCTTGTATTTGTTCACGACCAAATTGTTTGTGTCAAGCCATACTCACATAATACATATGCCAATTTTCTGTACGATACTTTGTCTTCTTTCACTAGAAAAATAGAGATGGTTGGGAAAAAAAGCAAGAGACGAGAGTAATGCTACATAGAACCGTGTCAAATAATGGATGGAAAGCAGTGAACTAATCACCAGAAGAAGGAAAAGGACACATTACTGTGATTGGAGGAGAACCGGAACAGGATCTGTGAAGCTCCCTGGGAGCTGCAAACTGCGTTAGGACACAGTGGGAGTCATGTTCGCTGTGTAAATGGGCACATGCACTTTGTGGTGCTCACGCTGTACCTTCACTGCAGTGTCTCCTGCAGAGTGCACCGAGCCTTTAGGCAGTCTTTCTGTTTGCCGAGCTCACATGTGGGTCAGACATATCAGAATGTGGCCCGATACCTGCGGGGGGGTTGGGTCAAACTGAGCAAAGAAAGACAAAAATAGACATACTTTTGTTGGATTTCTTTGCCCACTAAGGAACGTAGTGTTTCTAATGCCTGATGGACAGCCGTCAAATCAGCTGACTCGTGGTTTTCTGGTACTTAATGCCTTTTGGATTCCGGGCTTTCCGCATGCCACTGTTGGTGGGTTTCGATTGGAGGAGAGGAGCTCGTGGAACGAATTACAGAGAATGAGCTCACGGGAGACCCGATGCCCATGTGGTCTAATCAGATTATTTCAGTTCAATCACAGCAAAGCAGATTAAAGAAGCGCATCACAGCCATTATTTGACTGCAGGGAAGCAGACTGCGAAGTCTGAACTAGATATCAAATGAAGGGAAAGTGATGCGAGAGGAAAGGAAAGGAGCTTCTCGTTCAAGTGAAAGAATTAGGGAAAATTGTTGACTGGATGGTAGAAAATATGTATTGATGGGGAGGGAATATTGCTGTGAGCGTTTACGCTGTCCAGTCATCCTTAACATTCTGGAAGTGCAAACAGCACAAAACCATAACTAGAATAAATGTAAGAAAAGAAACTTCGATCTGTTACCTTCCCCTCTATCCTGACTCCTTTTGTGCCAAAATAAAGTAGCCAAGCTATAATTGCATAAGATGTTGTCTGGACAGCTGCGTCTAATTCGACCCGGAAGGGCAGCAGTGAGCTCTTAAGACTAAAAAGAAAACTAGGGCGAGGGTCGTGTGTGTTTAGGAATATTAATTATGTTAATCTGGTGTTAATCTCTGTTGACTCCCTCTAGTTTTTTTGATTTCCTCTCCACGTTTGGCAGTTTGTTCCCCACGATACTCGTCGTCCTTTCTATCTGTGTGACAGTCCTGTATACTCTTTGTTGTATGTCGCCAAAAGTTTGCCTCTTCTCTGTTTTCTGTCGCACTGGGACATTTAACTGTCGTTATCAGCACACAGAAAGAAATACCAGTAGGATGATTTAAAGAGAATGAAGGGAATACACTGTGTGACACTGTCAAAATGCATGCTCACATTATACGAAACAGACAGCTGTGACTTGTGCCTGATTGTGACCAGCATATCATATACGTACAAGATAATATATTATTACTGTGTAACAGAATGATCCTACTAATTCCTACCAATCAGTCCGTGCCCGCTATGCTTTGCTTGACTTTAGTTTAGTCCCCACCATATATTCCTTGCCAGATGCATGAAGCCAGATGACCAGCCGATCACCCCCCACACATTTATATGCTATGTGCCAAATGCAAGGCTCTCTTTGTGGATGTGTCTAGCAGGGGCCTGGTTGAGCTAAATTCTGTGTCGCTCGCTCAAAACTGTTGAGTAACTGTCCCTCCTCGTGCTCCACATTCGCTGTCGGCGGCCAGGATGAAGAGCGGAGCCAGCAAGGCCTGGGGGAAAAACCAGGACGGGGTGGTGGCCAGCCAGCCAGCCCGCGTGGTAGACGAGCGCGAACAGATGGCCATCAGCGGAGGCTTCATCCGCAGGTAAGAGCTGCCCCATGTTTTCATTCTTGGAGATGGAGGGTTAGTAAGTAAGGGGACGCAGATGTGGACAGAAAGAATGCCAGCGTCCATGTGGCCGTGGGGCAGACGTTCTCTTAAGAGAACATGAAAAGGACCCACACGAAGAAAGACGGAAGCAAACAGACGGAAACCTTCTCAAATCTGCATTTTCCCCACTGACCACCAGGGGGCGACTCCTCTGTTTCCTATAGAAGTCTATGAGAAAAACGACTACTTTTCTCTTGATTCATTCCCTCAGTAAACTTTTTAAACATGAGTTTATGGTCTCAATTTCTAGTTTCAAGTCAACAAGATTTAGTCAATTATGGTCCTTGTCGAGTCACAGGTTTTTTCCCTTTTTTCCCATTTTTTGTGGTGTTTTTTTTTTTTGGTGAGGGTTTCGGGACAGAGGATATCGGATGTGTACAGACTGTAAAGCCCTCTGAGGCAAATTTGTGATTTTGGGCTATACAAAGCAAAATTAACTGAATTGAGTCCAACAGACCATGAAGCAGGGGATGCTGCAGGGCGCAGCTACACACTGACCGGTTGCTGCGTCTATCACAGCCGTATCTGTCACTTCCGTTCACAAGTTGAAAATGGTCAAAATTGCAAAACGGCAGTCTAACGAATAATCAAGATGTTTTGTTTTTTCAAGTTTCAGGTCGCTTGACATAGTTCACAGGGCCAGGCCACCAATCATGCGTCAGCGTGTGACGGTTAAATGTTTTATTCAGCGCCTCACTGAACCCCGCCCACATGGCAATGGGTGGTGTGTTTGACCTGGTCAACATCACTGTGTCCCTGCGTGTGTTTAGGGTAACAGAGGACGCCCGGGAAAATGAGATGGACGAGAACCTGGAGCAGGTGGGCGGCATCATCGGTAACCTGCGCCACATGGCCCTGGACATGGGCAACGAGATCGACACCCAGAACCGCCAGATCGACAGGATCATGGACAAGGTACCAATAAATGGATTTCACAGCATTTTATCATCTATTCATTATCAAGCTACATATATTTTTAGGAACATATGCATAGTATGCAGCTTTATTTAAGCCAGTTTTAAAGATGAAGGTAACTACATATAATAACATAACTAGGGCTGTCAATAGATTAATAAGAAATTAGATCATTTGTCTCACGTTTTGAAATTCATTAATGGCAATTAAAAAAGTTTTTCTTTCATCAATTTCATAAATTAACAAGTAATCAATTTAAAAAGCCTGTATTTGAGACACCGTTGTTTAATTGTTTAAACACAAAGTCCACACATGTGATCATCTTGGAGGTGGAACATGTTAGCGACCTGTCGTCCTCGTGCACTTAGCTTTGCTTTCAACTCTCCATCATTTGACCTCTTTGAAGTGCCAACAATGTCCCCACATTTAGCCAGTACGTTTTCTAAACCAGTGTCTTTTAGGGACACGGTGGTGGTCCTCTGCAGGGCAGATGTTGAGATGGAAGTAGCCTAGCAGCCAGCTTAGCCTAGCAGCAAGCAACATGTTGTTCTTGTCCTCCTTCTGTTTGACACGTGGAGGAATTCCTCTGCAGTTCTTCTGTTTGTTTCACTTCCAATGAAAAAGAGGAGAAGCACATTTTTACAAACCTAGAAGGTCAATACCGCGCGTCAGCGCCTGTAGATGTGCGACTTTTCTACCGCAACAACATTTGGAACCCAATAAGAAAAGAATAATCAGAATTAGATTTTGCAGACTTTATATCATCACCATGGCGACATGTTGTCACGGTTGACTTTATCGTGTTGTTCGATTTAACGTGAATGCTGCATACATGTTCCCGTCAACTTACAGTAACAAACCAATACATGCAGACTGATGGGTGTTCCCTTCCTTCCTTGTCCCCTCTTCCCTCAGGCTGATTCCAACAAGACCAGGATCGACGAGGCCAACCAGCGCGCCACAAAGATGCTGGGCAGTGGTTAGACGCCCCGCAGTGGACCGGAGCGTGCCGGCGTCCCACGCCGCACATCTACAGGCGCTGACATGCTTTCATCATGGTATTGACCTTCTAGGTTTGCACATGCACATATCGCCCCCCCACCCACATTATAAATGTTGTTCTTTACGTCGTCCGTCAAGCTTTTTCAAGATGATTGTCCTCGCTAAAAGATGGTTTCTTATTCTCCATGTATCATTCTATCCAAAGGTTGTACATAGCGCTAACCTGATGGCTCTTTAGCTCACCTGTGAAATTTGTATTCTCTTTATATATCATATATATATACATATGTGATGTATACAGTACACTGCTCTGGATGATACGTATTTAATAGGAATGCTATACAGGCTGTTTGTTGTGATCCTTTCTTTCTTTCCAGTATCTCAGTATGGTCTTAGTTGAACTGTGTCATTCCATGTAGGCGACTGTCAGGGTTCTTATTTCGGTGTTGTGGCGACTAAAGGCAGGAGGCTGGGGACAAAGAGGCAAAGAGACGGTTTACTAGGGAACCAATGGGATCGCACAAAGCACTTACAGTCAAAAGGCAGACGTCGGTACATTCTCTTCCATCGCGATCAATCTGAGCTACCGTTTAGACTCTCTGTAGCTGTATTAGACATTGCATTCCAAGTGATGTGTATTGTGCGTTATCTGCATGACAAATGGTCGCTTTTAGTCTTATAAATAAAACCTGTCTGAAAAATATATATAAAAAAGGATAACGTGGCAGTAGCAAACACACAACGCATGCTCAGTATTAGGACAGTTGATGGTTCTTTACTCCTGCAAGTTTGCAATAGCGCCACTCTTTTTGTCGTGATATATTACCGACTGTGACCATCTCGTTGTAAAATAATGCAAAAAGGGATACAAAAACCCAGGAGGACCCGGGGTTGTATTGCAAAAACACCCAATGACCTGTTTTCTAAATGATTATGCAGCTCAATGATGAAGATGTTGATTGTGTGCTGAACGATGGGGACTGGTTGTTTACTGTAACATTTGAATGCTCTGAAAAAAACACAAAAGATCATTTGCAATGTAAGCAAAGACGCATATTTCTGAGAGACCTTACTTTTTTAAGAAGACTGTACCTGTATCTCCTTGTGTGGTTTGTTATTGGTAAGAAATGATACGATTGAATAACTAATACTATGAAACAAAAAAGTACATTTAAAAGGGTTTTTTTGTTGCTTCTGTACTTTAGAGCTATGCACAGCAAAACGCCAAACTATTGACTCGTTAGACTACGGTGATTACTACCTAAACCTGATGACACAATAGGTTCAACCGTGAGATTGGTGTCCTCAGCGCATGTAATATTAAGACTCCCTCTCTGTGTCCTGTCAGTCTGTGAAGTGGTGCATATTTTGTAGCTGGCTGAATTGATTAAAAGTAATAAACCCTGGTCGCCCCGCGTCTGTCTTTGTTGCTCTACTCTCTCTCTCTGACGTCGGTATTTACTGACGAACACCGCTCAGGTTACACCTCTGTGTCACCGATGTGGTCCAGCAGACGTCCTCAGTGCTAAAAACAAGCATCGTCCATGATTAGGACCCGGACAGTCAACGAGACCTTTAGGCTGTTGTAAAGGATCCAGACCATCCACACAAGTTTGATGCTCGAAGCCACGTAAGCAGTAATGATACCTGTGTATTTATGAGTGTCGTTTGATCAGATTTGAAAAGCAGCATCTGTAAAGCCCCCAAAAAAACAAATGGGAAGATGTTACTGCTCAATGAAGTGATTCCCATTTACTCGTCAAAGCGATGATTGCGGGCTCCGTGTATCCGTCTTACATCACTGTGCCTGACGGTGCAGATTGAGCCACTACCTGTGGCTGTGATGAAAGACCGGGGCGGAGCAGAGGGGTGGACCAGAAGGGTGGAGCAGAGGGGCGGGGCAGACGGGTGGTGGGATTTATTTGTATTCTGTCTTTGAATGGCTTGGATTGTGCTTCAAATAGTTTTGACAGTTACGATTTCAAATTGCACAAAACACCAAAGAAACACAAAAATGATAGTAATGCGTTGATGTTTTTGTTCTTAGTGATTCCATAATTGTATATTTAGTCTTTTATGAGACTGGCTATGAGAGAGCTTCCATACTAACTGACTCTAGTCAGTATAAAATGAGATGTACAGACTTGATCCTTAAAAGAAAATACAAACTATCTACAATATTGTTGTCAGCAGGACTGATGGAACATAAAAAAGATGGTTCAATTTCATTTAAAACTAAGAAAATAATTGGATACAATGTAGCTCCGGTATGCTTAAGTCACAAACTAAGTAGCATTAGCGGGCTCGAACTTTTGAACAATTAGATGGTATAGCTTACCAAGCTTAAACCATTTGTAATACAAAATGAACAAATGGTGAACAAACATTACTGGTCTGAACCAGTGAAGAAGTGAACAACGCTCAAAGGGGTCAGAAGGTCTTTGGAACAAGAGTCAGGGCCTCATGTACTGACGCTTTTGCGCCCACTTCAGGCGTCTTTGTTTCGCCATGTAAAAGCACGGGGAGGTTTGTACAAACATGGCCGCACTGAGGTGAAAGAGCACACTGCTTGTTGCGGGATGTTACGTTCCTCGACTGACGTCGAGGGGAGCCAGGGAGTCACAAACGATAAGATATGGAATTGGTAAACAAAAGATCTGACAATAGATCAAAACGTCCGTATCTCAAAACTTACTGTCAAACAGTAGAAAAATGGCACAATGATTAACACATTTGAGCTGGTAGTTCCAGGCAGGACACGAGCTACCTGAGAGAGAACAAGGTACACAGCCGTAACACGTGAGCTGAAAGAGCCAGATTGCGCTTTCTGTCATGCTTTGTACTCCCAGGAGGGTGAAGGGGGAAGTGGCAGGCGACGCCTACAGATAATGATTGAAAATGACTAAAGGTACAAAGAAAGCTTTACTCCTCCAGTTAGTGGCTGTAAAAATCTCCTGGAAGATATGAAGAGTTGTTTAACGTCCTGGTTAGACTCACGATGAGGGCAAAGTCAGTTGGCTTTACCAAATTGTGAGAAAATGGAAAATCCACTCAAATATCTTAAACACAAAACACATGTATCGGTCTTCTGGCACTAGTATTTTATTTGAGGGGTATTTTGTATCAAAATAAACCGAACGTCCATCTTCTTTTAAGAGGAGCTATAGTATCGCTCGCATAGCGAGAGTCTAAAACCGAACTGAGGGGCAAAGCACAGACGGGGAACCGGAACAGGGAAGACATTCACGTAGAACATTCAAACATTCAATGACGCAACCGGGACCCAAAAGACACACGGCTTAAATACACTGGGACGGTGCAGGTGATTGGACACAGGTGGAAACTATCAGAGACACGGCAGACAATCACAGGAGATGACAGGACAAGGCAGGAAGTGACGTAACCCTGTGACACAGTGACAGTACCCCCCCCTTAAAGGACGGATCCCAGACGGACCTAAGACACACAAGGGCGGGCGGGACGGGCAGAAAACAGATAACGGGGTAGGAGGGAGAGGGGACGAGCCAGGGGAACCCCAGCAGGACGCGAGACGACGGACGGGGAACCTCCGGCGGTCAACCCAGTGGGCGGACAGAAGCCGGGCTCGGAGGCGCCGGCTGCGGAACACCCCCCCCAGGGCCGGATTCCAGCCAGCCCTCAAACCCCCAAAGGGCGGGAGGGAGAGGACCAGGGGATGGGACCCGAGTCAGGGAGCCGGGACGGGGTCAGGCGCAGAGGAGCCGGAGGTCGCTGGTTGCATGTATATGTTCTTTTTATAGCTCACCCGCCTGGAGGAAGAAAGACTACAACACACACGATGAAAAAGTCAAGCCACCATTCTCATAGATAGAAGAAAGGAAACGAGGATAGCGTTTGTCTTTGTTGGGGCTTTAATTCATATGCTGATGTGAGAAAGGAATTGAAGGTCACCATTGTGCGTTATCTCTCTTATAGTTAATGATTAGTTAGTGTAAACACACTGATCAGCTGGAAGATATGAGGAGAATTCTTCGCAAGGTGACACCTACAGATAGTGATTGCAAAATAATTGACATGCTATGAGGGGCAAAAGTTGTGTAATATCCACATGCCATACACACAGGCTGTAAACTCCCACAAAGCGGTGTGTTATAAAAAGAGAAGGGTCAATGTTACTTCAACACATACATCAAGAGTTCATCCAAGGAGCCTGAGTGGTGAGCAAGAACCTTTAATGTTACTTTATATATATATATACACAGATTGACATCACAATGTGTAATATATACACATTGTGATATCAGTCTGTTGATGGTTCTTTGCACTGAGGTTGATCAGGTAACAGAAAGGTTATTCTGTTTCTCTCCCCCAGGGTTCCTCTGCCTGCAAGTGTGAAAATGGTGAATTACAAAGTGACCGTATTCACCACCGACGTGCCAAACGCCGCCACTTTAAACAACGTCTTCATCAAGCTGGTGGGCACCGATGGGGAGAGTGGACGCACCGAGCTCAATAGATATAAAGGAGCGTTATCTTTCATCAGAGGAGCAGTAAGTCTGAAATGTCCTTCTCTAAATGAATATCACTCTTCCTCAATTTCACGATTATTGAATCAAATATCAATTTAGAGAAGTTGATGTTATCCTCCGTTCCAGATCTCACGCTATTCTTAGTTAAGTCCCCTTATTTTGTTTTACTCGGACGGGCAGGGTTTTCCCCTTTAACTTCTCGTAAGGCAGAAAAACACTTCTCGCCAGATCTCCCAGTGGAAACCCTGAGAGGTTTATGAAACTCAGGATCCCGGTCGCGTTGCACCGTCACCTCGGCCCTGGCGGATGTCTCCGCTCCACGGGACTAGTGATGGCAAGTCCGGATCATTTTACTGACTCGGTTCTTTAAATCTGGAGACACACTGAGTCCGTTTTCTTGACCCGAATGACCGGAGATCTTTTCGTTTGGTGTTTATTTCCACAGCAAAAAGCGTTAACCAAATACACAAAAAGCACATTCCGTCACACGGTAGAAAAACTGTGCACTAGTGCCTCATCAGCTCATCTAGGTTGCACCTGCTGCAAACATGACGTCAATATAAGCAGGAAAATAAAGGGGCCATGCCAACATATATATCCAATATAATGTCCTCAATACAACAAAGTCCCATCAAACAATATACACACTTAGCTCTTACACTCAGTGAGGCACGTTGGAGAGAAAGATGCCCGGCAGCAGTGTGCGAGCCAAGAGACCGATTCATTGACAAGGTTCATAAAAGGAGAACATATTTTTAAATACTTTCTGCTGTATATTGGAGGGGGAGCAGATTGGTATTATCTCTATATTGGGGGGGACACGACCCCATCATCCCCTGTGATTGTCTGTCGTGTCATGATTGTTTCCACCTGTGTCACCTGCACCTTCCCAGTGTATTTAAGCCATATGTGTCTCTTGTCACGTCATTGTTGAATGTACCGAATGTTCAAGTCTGAGTGTTCCTGGTTCCCGTCTACGTTTTGCCCCCCTTTGCCTTTTGATTCTGGATTTTGACTATTAAAGTCTTTTTGTTTTCAAAAACTCTGCGTCTGGGTCCTACCTTCCCCGTTTCATGACAGAATGACGCAAAGTAAAAAGGACTCCACAGAGTTTTTCCCCTGGAACCAGTTCCGGTGCCGGAACCAGTGCCTTTCTCGCCGCCCTCCGGTCACCACGTAGCCTCCGGAGGTGGAGGCCATCTCCTGGTGGATGAGCCCAACTGCCGACGGGAAGAAACTGTTGGTGTGGCGGGAGGTCTTAGTCCTGGTGGACCTCAGCCTCCTGCCAGATGGAAGGGGCACAAACAGGTTTTGTCCGGGGTGAGAGGGGTCGGCTACCATCTTTTTAGCTGCTTCAGAGACCTGGAAGCGAACAAGTCCTGCAGGGACGGCAGATTGCAGCCGATCACCCTCTCTGCAGAGCGGATGACACGTTGCAGCCTGCCCTTGTCCTTGGCTGTGGCTGCAGCGTACCAGACGGTGATGGAGGAGCAGAGGATGGACTCCATGATGGCCGTGTAGAAGTGGACCATCATCGTCTTTGGCAGGTTGAATTTCTTCAGCTGCCTCAGGAAGAACAACCTCTGCTGAGCCTTCTTGGTGATGGAGCTGATGTTCAGCTCCCACTTGAGGTCCTGGGTGATGATGGAGACCAGGAAACGGAAGGAATAGTGATGGGGGAGTCACACAGGGTGATGGGGGAGGGTGGGGCTCTGTTCCTCCTGAAATCCACAACCATCTCCACTGTCTTTAGAGCGTTGAGCTCCAGGTTGTTCTGGCTGCACCACGACACTAGATGGTCAGACTCCACCTGTAGGCGGACTCATCCCCACCAGAGATCAGTTCAATAAGGGTGGTGTCATCCGCAAACTTCAGGAGCTTGACGGACTGGTGGCTGGAGGTGCAGCTGTTGCTGGTTCGGACCACGCCCCGCTCCAATGGCTCCACGGCATGAAAGATGCCAACGGCCGGATCGCTCGGTGGTATCTGGCTCTACAGCCTTTTAATTTCAAGGTGGTCCATAGGCCGGGGGCGCAGATGGTCGTGGCAGACTTCCTCTCCCGCCCTCTCGAGGGGGGGGGAGTAGGTTCGGCCGGATGGCTCCCCGGCCTAAGTCGGGCGGTGGGGGTATGTGGTGGCGGGCGTGGTTTGGCTCGGCTGCAGAGGGGACGGAGAAGGGAGTGGTTCGGGGAACGGTGCATAACGAGGCATAATCAGCCTCAGCTGAGATTAATCAGTGTGTGTGTTTGTTCTGCCTTGAAGTAGCAGAGATCCGGCGACAGCGAGAGGGCTGAGCAGACGAGGAGGCTGGAGCCGGCTGTCCATGATTGTTGTGAACAGTAAAATAAAGTGTAAAATGGAACCAACCGCTGCATTCTCGTCATTCCGAGACCTCCCGTAGGACGAACCTGTCACAGGCTGTAACACCGGCCCAGAGCGGCACCCGAGGTCGGTGGGTCTCAATGAAAAATCTCCAAAAGGCTCAGAGCGAAATCGGTTTTATTTACTTCATAACAAAAATCTGATAAAAACAAGTTACTGAGAAAAAGGATGATAAAATGTTGAACAAAAAACGGAAATAAAAGTGTTGAGAACTTAAGAAAAAACGGAGATCCGGAGTCCGAAGAACTTAAGCTACAGTTTCTCTATCCCCATCTAGCAAGAAGCATGAAAAGACTTCCCAAATAACTCTCGTCTCCGGTCGAACTGTCCCTTTTATGATACCAGAAAGTCTGGAGATTCAGGAAAGCCCCCAAAAAGCATGGAGAAGTGGAAAAAACCTTCATGGCCTAATAAATCATCCTGTCAAGTGTCCGCCTGCACTTGGACCTCACGTCTCCTCGCAGAACCGCTGTCACTTCATAACACAAACGTATCTCAACACCAACATGTAGCGTTGTGCAGTTTTAGATGACGTGCACAATAAGAAAAACCAAGAACACCTGCACATACTGTATATAGGTGTGTCAATGGATGACTTTATACCTCTTATAATACCGAGGTTAAGCCTATTGGTAAATCTACAGAGCATCTTATCAAAAGGTATTTGGTCATACTGATAAGATTAAAACATAGGCACTTTGGATTTCTGTGTCCCCTTTTCTTATCCTAAACCCTAAACCGTTCTTCGTCCTTAAAAAGTCATATAACAACATTATCAATTTTGCATATCATGCTATCCTTTCAACGACGCATTGAATAAATTCTCATCTTTCTCCATTCGGTATTGTATGCTAACCATCCCATTCCTGTCTTTACCCCCAGAACCCTAGATTCACCGTGTCCTGCCCCGTCTCTATTGGATCGCTGGTTCTGATAGAGCTTGATAAGCAGCATCCCAGGATCTTGCCTGAAGATGATTGGTTCCCTGCCAAGGTGGAAGTGAAGTCCCCCGAGGGTCAAACCTACATGTTTCCCATCCATCGCTGGATCGCTGACAGTAAGGTGCACCGCTTCAGGGAGGCAAAAGGTTTGTGCAAATCTGACTTAGACCTCATGTACGCTGTTCACTGACCGCTGAAGACGTGACAGAAGGAAAAGCTGGTCTCCAAAGAGGCTGGAGTAACCAACACGCTGTGTTTATTAACAATTTTAAGCGTTTTTTTAATTTCTTCAAGCTCTGAGAGTCTTCGAGGATGACAACGATCTAGGCAGATACAGTCGGATGCAGGAGCTGAAGCAGCGAGAGGAAGACTACCGGTGAGTCAGACCTTCACAGCTTCATGGACCCAAAAGATACTTTCACCTTCACTCTTTGTGGGGAACATCAACCAACATATGACATTGTTCCTCATTGCTCTGCTCTTCATTTACCAGCTGGGATGTGTATCTGGAGGGAATAACCCACTGCATGAAGGCAAAGGACCCTTTTTCTCTCCCTTATGAGGTCCGGTTCTCCTTCACTAAGGCTTCAGAGTTTATCTACACAGGAGGGACTGGGTGAGGAATCTGTGGAAGGAAGTCTCCCTATTAAATTATTTAAGGGTTAATGATGAAATTGACTTCTTGATTTTATTTCTCAGGCTGCTCGAGTTGCAGCTGAAGGGATTATCTGATTCCCGGAAGAATTGGCCTGATATTGATTCCATCAAGCGTGTGTTCTGGTTGAAACACACTGACATATCAGGTACTGTCGGGGTAGTTCAATGACATACTTGATAGTGTTCATTCACATGTTCATGATGCCACCGAAAGCATGTTACTCATGTTCTTGTTACTTGGCTTTATAAATATGGGAAAAATGTCACAAGAACATACAATAAATACTTGAATAAAATACTTTGTGACTGAATCTGTGCAACACTTTGTTTCCAAAAGTCTGCTTCACAGTAGTCAAGCTGATAACTGCGATAGAGAGAGATTTTCTAGCAGAACGTTTAAAACTCCAACATGGTAACCTCTGCTTTTTTCCAGATTATGTCCGGGATAATTGGAAGGAAGATGATTTCTTTGGCTACCAGTTTCTAAACGGGGTCAACCCCATGATGATCCGACGTTGTTCAGCCCTGCCTGAGAACTTTCCTGTCACAGAGGACATGGTCTCCCTCGGGGGTCAGAGCTTGGCAGATGAAATGAAGGTGAATGTCTTGACTTTGATCATATCTGTAAAAGTATGTTGCATTTGCGTTAATTTAGTATGATTAATATTATCTGAGTCAACTTTTTTTCTCATCCTCACTGGAATTTGAAAAAGAAAGGAAACCTATTCCTGTGTGACTACAAGCTTTTGGATGGAGTGAAACCAAACGTCATCAACGGGAAGAAGCAGTACTTGATGGCTCCCCTGGTCCTGCTTCGAAAAACAAGCCATGATAAACTGTTGCCAATTGCTATTCAGGTAAGATTAGCGCTCAAATAGCTGATTTTCAGATATCCAATACTACAGATGTCATTTGTGCAGAAAAGATCAAAATACCTTTAGAGAAATTACACGATTAGGTTGCTTAACTAGATACACTGCCTGGCCAAAAGGAAGGTCGCCACCAAAAAAAGGTCACACACTATATTTCTTTGCTTCTGCAATGTCACCAGATTTATTTCCATCCAGTGCATTTATTTCTCACCAAGATCTTGTATTGATGATGGTAGAGTCTGACTGCTGCGTAAAGCCTTCTCCAGCACATCCCAAAGATTCCCAATGGGGTTGAGGTCTGGACTCAATCCACGTGTGAAAATGATGTCTCATGCTGGCTCAACCACTCTTTCACAATTTGAGCTCGATGAATCCTGGCATGGTCATCTTGGAATATGCCCGTGCCATCACGGAAGAAACGTCCGTCCAGAGATGCTAAAAGCAATGGGTGTTGGGGGGTTGTCTTGGATGACACGCCTCTTCAACATTGCGTGGAAGTCTGGGACAGTGCCAAAAGAGTGGCAGACCGGAGTGGTGGTACCCCTCTTCAAAAAGGGGGACCAGAGAGTGTGTGCCAATTACAGGGGTATCACACTACTCAGCCTCCCGGGTAAAGTCCACTCCATGGTGCTGGAAAGGAGGGTTCGGCCGATAGTCGAACCAAGGATTGAAGAGGAACAATGCGGTTTTCGTCCTGGTCGTGGAACAACGGACCAGCTCTTCACTCTTTCCAGGATCATAGAGGGGGCTTGGGAGTATGCTCATCCAGTCTACATGTGTTTTGTGGACTTGGAGAAGGCGTATGACCGGGTCCCCCGAGAGATACTTTGGGAGGTGCTGCGGGAGTACGGGGTGAGGTGGTCCTTGCTTGGGGCCATCCAATCCTTGTACGCCCAAAGCGAGAGCTGTGTTCGGGTGCTCGGCAGTAAGTCGAAGGCGTTTCCGGTGGGGGTTGGCCTTCGCCAGGGCTGCGCCTTGTCACCAATCTTGTTTGTGGTCTTCATGGACAGGATATCGAGGCGCAGTCGGGGGGAGGAGGGTCTACAGTTTGGGGGGCTGCGGATCTCATCGCTGCTTTTTGCAGATGATGTGGTCCTGATGGCATCTTCCGTCTGTGACCTCCAACTCTCACTGGAGCGTTTCGCAGTCGAGTGTGAAGCGGTCGGGATGAGGATTAGCACCTCTAAATCTGAGGCCATGGTTCTCAGCAGGAAACCGATGGATTGCCTACTCCAGGTAGGGAATGTGTCCTTACCCCAAGTGAAGGAGTTCAAGTACCTCGGGGTCTTATTCACCAGTGAGGGGAAGATGGAGTGTGAGTTTGGGTGGAGAATCGGAGCAGCGGGGGCGGTGTTGCACTCGCTTTACCGCACCGTTGTTACGAAAAGAGAGCTGAGCCGGAAGGCAAAGCTCTCGATCTACCGGTCAATCTTGGTTCCTACCCTCACCTATGGTCATGAAGGATGGGTCATGACCGAAAGAACTAGGTCACGGGTACAAGCGGCCGAAATGGGTTTCCTCAGGAGAGTGGCTGGCGTCTCCCTTAGGGATAGGGTGAGAAGCTCAGCCATTCGTGAGGAGCTCGGAGTAGAGCCGCTGCTCCTTTGCGTCGAAAGGAGCCAGTTGAGGTGGTTTGGGCATCTGGTGAGGATGCCCCCTGGGCGCCTCCCTAGGGAGGTGTTCCCGGCACGGCCAGCTGGGAAGAGGCCCCGGGGAAGACCAGGACCAGGTGGAGAGATTATATCTCTGCACTGGCCTGGGAACGCCTTGGGATCCCCCAGTCAGAGCTGGTAGATGTGGGAAAGGGAAGTTTGGGGTCCCCTGCTGGAGCTGTTGCCCCCGCGACCCGACCCCGGATAAGCGGTTGAAAATGGATGGATGGATGGCATCACGGAAGAACAAATCCATTGATGGAATTCAGGTAGTCAGCTGACCTCATACTGTTGCTGCCCATGCAGTAATTATCCAACAGGAGGCTCGTACCTATTTGCTTAGTTTAATCCAGGTGACCAGGCAGTGTATATGAATAGTGTGAATCAGAGAAAAGATTTTTCAAATATTGTCGTTGAAATTGCCATATTTCCTCCCTTTTCTCCTTGACAAAGGTATGATAATTTAGAGCATTGAAGGCTTCTTTTCTCAAGTTGACCGTGTGCTCTGACCTGGGATCTAAAGTAATGATGAATTTAGAGATCTGAAAGCAGAAATATTGACCACACGTGGTGATTGAAAAGATGGACGTAACCAGACCTCCTTTTTGCTCTGCAGCTGAAGCAAAGTCCCGCAGAAGATAATCCCATCTTCCTTCCCACTGACGGGTTTGACTGGTTGTTGGCCAAAGTCTTTGTGAGAAGTGCCGATTTCAACGAGCATCAACTCGGGACTCACCTGCTGCGCACTCATTTGCTGGCTGAAGTGTTCGCCGTGTCCCTGCTGCGCAACGTGCCCATGGTGCATCCGCTGTACAAGGTAACTGAGAGGGACAATCCTTCCTGTTTGTGTCTTCTAGTTCATGAATCATAATGTAAAGTATTCACCCTGCTAGGAGGCATGAAGATGTGTGCCCTGAAGTTAGTCATGTTTTCCTCTTTTTCAGCTCCTTGTACCTTACACTCGCTACACTATACAGATCAACTACCTCGCTCGAAACCTTCTAATATCTGAGTCTGGAGTTTTTCCAAAGGTACCAATACCTTAAGATATATATACAGTATTCTTATAATTCCAATGTCTCTTTCATTTTTCGTCTAACTTTAATCCTTACATATTTGAATGTCTCCTAGATTGCGGCTTCTGGGGGAGACGATATGAAGACCCTCCTGAAGAGATTGTGGTCTTCAGTGACCTACAGCTCCCTCTGCATTCCAGACGACATCGCTGAGCGTGGGCTGGAGGACGTGCCCAACTTCTACTACAGAGATGATGGACTCAAGCTTTGGGGTATCATCCACAGGTAGAACAGCTATCCTGTTATTGGAGAACAAGAGCTCTAAAGCTCAACGAAGAAGTGCATTGTAGTTTTCATGGGGGGCTTTTCACGGCCCGGTGGTTTGGGACCGTTGTCAAAGGATCAGTTAAGCTGTAAGATGCATAGTTTACCCCACCTGCTCCCCATTGCAAACTGTTTATTTCCCAGTCCATGATAAACTTTTAGGAGAAAATTGCATTATCTTGGAATATATGCTCCACAGCAGAGACCAGAGGCACTGCTGCAAGTTAGATTCATATTGCCTGTAAATATGAATACACAGTAAATGAGTGACTCACCTCTTGAGTGACGGATGACATTTTCTAAATGAACCGGCCTACGTAACTTTGAGGTCCACTGTGGGATTAGTGAGGGGACATTCCTGCCTTTCATCATGGAAGATGTCCTTTAAATAACAAATCATTGGTGCTGATGACACGCTAACGGCTAATTGCACCAAATTCTTTTAAGAAAAGGCACAACTGATCACTCTTAAGCAATGACCTTGAAAATGTCTTGGATAAGAATATTACTGCATTGTATAACAATTCAAATGAGGTTAAAGGAAAGTATCCACATTTTCTGAAAGGTTTGTGAACGACGTGCTGAGCTTCTACTACAAGAATGATGCTGAGGTCCAGAAGGACTCTGAGCTGCAGAAGTGGATTTCAGACATCTTTGAACATGGATTCCTTTCCCAAACCCAAACAGGTGAGCTGAACAACAAGCTCAATGTTGATGATGGAAAATATCCATATTTTAGAACCATAATATGATCATAATGCAGATAAAAGTCAAACTTATATTGTGTCATCTATACAACTTTAACATATATTCCCTCTTATTGTCAGGTATTCCCCAGAGTTTTACCACCGTGGCTGAATTGGTGAAGTTTGTCACCATGGTGATCTTCACTTGCTCAGGACAGCACTCGGCGGTGAACAGTGGACAGGTAAGGACTTTTCTATTTGCTTGGTGCTATTTTTGTGGAATGAATTTCATGAGGCTTTTACTGTTAGCGAGTTGAACATGAACAAGATTTGTCGGCCATGGTAGCGGGACTGTGAGGCTTCACTTTGACACCGTGATGCTTTGAACAACAACTGCTATCGTTGTCCGGAGGTGGGGAAGGCAGGACTCAAACGCAGAGTTTCAAAAACAAAGCGACTCTAATAGTAAAAAATTCCAAAAAATCTAAATTCCAAGGGGGGCAAAAACAGACGAGAACCAGCACCACTTCAACGTGGCCTTCTGGACATTCAACAATGACAAGGGACACACATGGCTTAAATACACTGGGAAGGTAAATGGTAAATGGACTGTACTTGTATAGCGCTTTTCTAGTCTTCCGACCACTCAAAGCGCTTTAACACTACATGACATCATTCACCCATTCACACCCATTCATACACTGATGACAGGAGAACCACACACAGTGACACCTGCCCATCAGTAACTACCATTCACACACTGTAGTCGCAGCTACAGGAGCAATGTTGGCTCGGTTAAGTGTCTTGCCCAAGGACACAACGACATGCGGGTTAGCAGAGCCTGGGATCGAACCCATAACCCTCTGATTGGAGGACGACCGTGCTCCCCACTCACCCACAGTCGCCCTAGGGTGCAGGTGATTGGACACAGGTGGAAACAATCATGACACGGCAGACAATCACAGGGGACGACAGGACAAGGCAGTAAGTGAAGTTACCCAGGGAGACAAGAGGCAAGAAACTACAAAATAAAACAGGACATGAACCCAAACCGTGACAGAACCCCCCCCCCCTCCCTCAAGGGCCAAATTCCAGATGGCCCTAAACCGGGAGAGCAGACAGGGGACGGGAGCGAGGGAAACCAGAGACCATCCGGGCCAGTCGGCCTCCGGGGGTCGGCCCGGCGGGCGGCCAGAAGTCTGGCTCGGGGGTGCCAGCTGCCGGACGCGGGAAGCCACCGGAGTCGCCGGCCCAACCCCTGCCACAACCCCTCCCTCAAGGGCCGGATCCCAGACGGCCCTCAGATCAGCAAAGGGTGGTTGGGAGAGATCCACGGGATGGGAGGGAGGTAGCCTGAGTCGGGGAGCGAGTCGTGGGACCGGGACTGGAGAAGTCTGGGGAACCGGAACTGGAGGAGTCAGGGGAGTGGGTGAGTGAGTCTCTGTGGCCCAGCGGGAACGGGGAGTAGCCGTGTCCTCTTGCCAGAGCTCCTCCTCCTGGGGTTGAGGAGGTCCTGGAGATCAAGGCAGGCCTTTTGATAGCTCCTTGGCCCAAACAAAGTTCGTCCTTCGCTGCCAAAAGGGACTTATGTCCAGGTACTCGGGTCCGTAATCCGGCAAAAGGTCTGCTGAGTCCTTCGTTGGTGGCGTCATTCTGGCAGGATGCGGGGAAAGCAGGACTCAAACACAGTTTAAAAAACAAATACTTTTATAGTCAAAATTCCAAAAAATCTAAATTCCAAGGGGGGCAAAGACAGACGAGAACCAGGAACACTTCGACGTGGCCTTCTGGACATTCAACAAGTGACGCACATGGCTTAAATACACTGGGAAGGTGCAGGTGATTGGACACAGGTGGAAACAATCATGACACGGCAGACAATCACAGGGGACGACAGGACAAGGCAGGAATGGTAAATGGTAAATGGACTGTACTTGTATAGCGCTTTTCTAGTCTTCTGACCACTCAAAGCGCTTTAACATTACATGACATCATTCACCCATTCACACCCATTGATACAATGATGACAGGAGAACCACACACAGTGACAACTGCCCATCAGTAACTACCATTCACACACTGTAGTCACAGCTACAGGAGCAATGTTGGGTTAAGTGTCTTGCCCAAGGACACATCGACATGCGGGTTACCCGGGCCTGGGATCAAACCCACAACCCTCCGATTCCCCCGATTGGAGGACGACCGTGCTCACCCACAGGAAGTGACGTTACCCAGGGAGACAAGGGGCAAGAAACTACAAAATTAAACAGGACATGAACCCAAACCGTGACAATCGGGCGTGAGGTGGCAACGCTACATACTGACTGTTAGAAGGTGTAATGTTCACAATCGTCTTTAACCGTGTTTACATGCAAGCATCAAAGGTTTGTTTTAATTAATAAAAAACCCAAAGTACACATGAGGCCGATAGGAATGTCATTCCTTTTGAAGGTACGGGCTCGAGGAGAAAGTCATCTTCATGGGACCATGACTATCGTTTCAACAACGTTTCAAAGCATATTCATCAGTTATTGCATTCATTGATCACAGTTTGACTACGGCGGCTGGATGCCCAACACTCCCAGCTCCCTACAACAACCTCCGCCCACCACAAAGGGGACAACAAGCGAGGCCACGCTGCTGCAGACATTACCTGATATCAACACGACGGTTACGGGAATGTCTACCTTGTGGCTGCTCAGCAAGCAGTCCACTGACATTGTAAGTACCCAAGTCTTTAATCAAATCAAAATGCATCTTCACGTTGTTTAAAGTATAAGTTGTTAAAGGTCAAAGGTCTGATTCAAAATTCACACTTTTTTTAAATGTATCATTGTCATCAGGTCACTCTTGGCCAGTACCCAGAGCAACACTTTGGAGAGAAACAACCCTGCGAGCTGATAAAGCGCTTTGAAGCAGAGCTTAAAGTGCTAACAGCTGAGATCAAAGCCAGAAACGTGGCTCTCAAGGTCCCCTACAGATACCTGGATCCACTGGTAGTGGAAAATAGTGTGAGCCTTTGAATATCAGGTGTGACCTCCTGGGGATAGGGAAGGGAAGAACTGCATGTTCTGTCTTTTCGTGGAATGAAACGTGCATGTGTTTGTTGTATGCTGATCGATTTAACTTCTGACTTTACTGTTTTGTATCATCTTACATTTTCTTGGTTCTTCAATGAATAATAAACATTTATGTTCATAAGCAACCTTTTCCCATTCCTGTGTCTGGATGATGGACATCACTGCTGCTAAGCTCTGTGAACCTTCCCTCATATTTAACCTCCCCTTGTTGTCCAGGCACAAGGAAACAGGTTTTTACTGCAAAAAAGTGGGTTCATCTTCCCAAACATTTTAGAACAGGTAATATTTACCAAAAAAAATCAATTAACAGTTGGTATGGTCCATGGCTCAGGCCTCTTGCATAAATGCGACTCCACCTTCAGACCCGTGTTTTGGCCAAGCAGGAAGGGAGCTCAGCAACCAGGTAACTGGCCACCACGCAGTCCCATCTAGACCTTTGTGGTGGGAGGGAACATCTGAGGAGCCCTCCCCAAAAAGGCTCATGCTGAAGCACGTGTCTTCTATCTGAGGGAAGAACACATTGAGTTGTGTGTCTCCGTCAGCGTGTCCGGTACGTGACGGTGGACCTGAGAACACGTACGCAGCCTCCCTGCGGCGGCTCAACACTGCTCCCTCCCACTACAGAGGTTAAACTGGAACAGAAGCCTGAAGGTTCTCCTCTAATCAAAGTATTAAAGTGAACCATGGTTCAGAGCGTTAAATGGTCCACACTTTCCTTCCGGAGGTCTCCACCCACGCTGCCGCTGTGAGCCTGGTGTCCCTCAGGAGAAGGTGGAGGCTCCTTTCATGGTGCGCAGTGACACCGTGGGGCCACACTGAGCTACTACATCATCGTGTAGAAGAGAACCGTCAAACAAGCCAAATATGCTTAAACGGATTAAATGGAAAATGATTCTGGTCCCACCAAGCAGCAAAAAGAAAACACAATGCCAGATGTTCCTGCAAATGTATTAAATGTATTGACCCTTTTGGGCAAAACTGACAAACAGAAGTAACATTTATCACTTTGCAAACTATTGGGAGTTTAGAAGGAGAAAGTCTCAAAGTGTTGAAATGTTTCTTGTCCCAGTCAGGAAACACAACTGTTGGTCCACAAAGCATCAATACGAAGACAGCATCACGTCCACTGGATGATCCCACAGCCCCAAACGGCTCACTTTAAAACTAAGTGCAGATAAAATGATTAACTTCATCTTCCTTTTTTCTGCTCTGCTTTTTAATGACCTTGAAATGTCCTGACGGAGCCGTTGGCCACACTGATCATCTAGTTACTCTTACAACATGAACCGTGACCTAAGTTTTCAGAGTTAAATGACTAGTGCATACTCATCATTATGCAATGTACTGCGTTAGAAGTGGATGGAACTGATGTTTCCGGACCAAGAGCCACACATCATTCATGTGGTCTGTTTGGGATACTGTGCTTAACTGGGCACTTTGACAGCTGTAACCTCAATTAAAGAAATATCATCTTTAGGCCTCTTAATCGCTGCCTGAAAACAAATCACACACATGTTTAATCCCAATGAAATGAAGACGTTACAAGAAGGGTTGAGGAACCAAAGACAAAGCTTAGACTTCTACAGACGTCAGAGAAGCACTCACACACACACATGACCTGCGTCTTCTCTTGAAGCAGGAATCATTTAGAGAGTTGGGAGCCCTCTTGTGTGTCGTATCCCCACAAACAATAGGGAACAGGGAAGTTTCAAACCCACAACATGAGTCTTTGGGCACCGGTTAGTTTCAGGTGTCTTAGTGAGCCACGGGATCAAGGCTCAGGTCGCCTCTCGCGCTCCGGGCGCCGGCGTCAGATCTACGCGTGTCCATCCCGTCGGTTGACGCTGTCCACTGCAGCACAGGTGTTGTGGAACATCCCGGTCTGGAGTGCAGGTGGGGAGGGTCTTAAGTCGGGAGGGGCAGCCAGTGGGCGAGGCCTTCAAAGAACCTCCGCACGCTCATGACGTAGAAGTCTGCGTTGTTGGTGAAGTCGGTGCAGATGTTGGAGTAAGTGTCCACCAGCGTGCAGTAGAGGGCCGTCCCGCCTACGCTGATCACCACGGTAACCAGACACAGCAGCAGCAGGATGAGGCAGGAATCCCCGCCCATGTCGTCTGAGAGGGAGAGAAGAACATGAGCTTTCAATGGAAACGGTCTTAACGGCATCGATCGCCCTCATTGAAAACATTTACCACAGTTTACCAATTGTGATCGGCTGCTCTTTAATCATTGCAGCGACTGAGGAGTTCTACGTTAGAAGACGTCTGTCCCACACTGCTTTGTTTAGTCTGTGACTCCATCGGTTCTCTGGGTTAAAGCGCACCTTGCTCAAGGCCTTCCTCTGGCTCACTGAAGCGAACTTTGCGTTTCGGGTTCTCTTTGGTGACAAAGTCGCTCGGAGGAGGCAATCCATCCAGCGAAGCTCTCCTCCTCTTTAGGATGGAGACCAGACCGTCAGCGTAGGAGCTCTGAGGAGGACACAGAAACCAGAGGATTGACCATGAGCGCTACCACTGAGGGAACGGTTATGGAGCAGAAGCAGCTCTCTGTGATGGAGTTTCTGGCTTCAGGATGGAACCACTTGAACTTGCTCATCAGTAACACTAAGAGGTGTTTGTCGTTTTCTACATGAGGTTAGAGATTTATAGAAATAATACTAGTCTTGTAACATAATCTCTCAGCCAGCTGTTGTCAGGCAGAATTTAACTGAAACATTCACAGCCGCCAACATTTAATCAAATTATTTTTTATGGACTTTTCACAAATCCAAGTCAACCAGGTTACATTATACAGCTCATTAATTTACATTTGATTTATTCTGCAGTTTATATAGATACAGGAACATATGCATATACAGATAGATACACACATTTCTCATGGTGCCTGTTAAAGGGAAAGTTGTCCAAAAGAAGTCCCACCCAGTCGACCCTCCTGTGCATTACATCACAGCGATGCTCAGCCTTCAGCATTACTGCTTCATCATCTCCGCCTCTCACGAGAACCGGGCCCCTCCGCTCAGTGCTCAAGTCAGAGCACGCTGCCTCGGCTCAGTCACCAGTGGACACGGGTGGAGGTTTCTGGACAGGGAGACCATGGTGATGATCTCACCAGAGATCATTCCTGGGAGTGTCCCGGAACAGACAACCAGCTGGGGTTCAGAGAAAGGAACTCGGGGGAATGCAGGCGGACGTACGCAGCAGAGATCAGAGGGCAGTGGACAAAGGGAAATAGGCAGGAAGGAAAGATGAGAAGGGGCTGGAGAGGGCTCTTATCACCACATCATGTTGCGTGATATTCTGTCCGATCCTTTTAGAATGCACCTCCCCCAGTAATAAAGATCAGCAAAGAATGCAGATGTTTTCCTACCCCGTCTGCGTGGGACAGCCTGGCCAGGTCCTTGACTGAAGCCTGGGGGACTCCTGAGGGCCACTCCACCTTCACCTCCTGCTCTGGTGTCTCCTCACACGGCTTCTCCTCCTCCTCCTCACCTCCCTCCTGTTGGCCTGTCTGTGGAAGCTGTGGCTTCACGCTTTGCTCCTTTCCTTCATCCTGGAACGTTGCTTCAGTCTCGTTACCTGGCATGACAGGAGATCGGTCGTGGATTCGGGGTTATTCATCCGTGTGTCGACACAGAGGACCCGTGTAGCTTAATGTGTCTAGAAGTTGATGAGAAGGTCAGGCCATTAACGTCACCAGGTTTATTGTAGGTCATTTCTAAGTCATGCAAGTTATTTGTATCGATTAATGTGTTCTCAGTCTGTCACAGTAGTCTAGACCTCTTCACCTGTTCACTAACTCTGTCATTTCAGTTCCAGCCTCTCGCCCGCCAATCAGCACTCACCCCCCTCAGCTGACGCCCGTCTCACCTGCTGCCCATTCCCTCGTTAGTCTCTCACTCTTTAGGTCCACTTGTCTCCTGCCAGGTTGTCCCGTGTTTTCCTGCCAAGCTGTCTGGTGATTTCTGGTTTCTGGCGTGTGTGCGTGTCCCCTTACACCCGGTCAATCCAGTCATGGCGATGCTGTTGCCGTAGTTGAAAACCAACCGCAGCCACTGATACCGAGTAAAGGGCGTTTCATGGGATATGAGGAGGCTCATACAGATCTACACTCACTTTGTGCTTCATTGTTGCAGCGTGGAACTCTTCATTGCCAAATACTTTAACCTGTTATTATTCTGAAAAGGGGTTCAGTGCTAAACATGTTAATTACAAGGTTAACAAGAGACTATTTCTGCCAAATATTTGTTATGCACTCTGGTTTACTTGATTCCATTATTAGAAAAGGCATCGATTGAGCAGTCCCAAAATGATATTTCAATAAAAGGCGTGAACATTTTTCTTTCTCCCCGGCGGGTCGTAAAAGTCGAGTCAAAATGTTAATCTGAGCAGAGCTTTGGTTCATGTTTAGCATCAGTACGTTAGCATTTTACCTGTGAGCCTGCTGGAAGTCGGTCAGTAAAGCGCTGGAAGCAGAACTTGGTACGGTATAAAGAATAGAGACACACGTCTACCTTCATCGGGACACGTTGGTAGTCTCTCGTACTTGCGCTGGATGTCTTTGGCTGTTTGATTCACTGTGTTCTGTTGAATCAAACACAGTTAATGATCATGTGTCAAACTGAGTGAAGATCACCATGGAGGGAAGGTTCACATGTCTCACCTGCTCCACACTGATTGAGGGTCTGAGTGATGCCAAGAAGAGCGCAGATAGAGACAAAGGACAGCAAGGCAGGCAAAGACAAAAAAGAGACTTAAATCAAGTGGTGAAAGCTTCACATATTAAAAAGCTAAAATCTTCTGCCTTTCATTTTTTTTTCCAGATCAAATCCATCTTGGTCAGATGACTATAAGCTGCAATGATAACGTATGAAGAGGGTCCCGGGGTCCCGCGGCCCTGCAGCGCATGTCTGTGTCTCATTGAATTCTCCATTCTGCAGAAGTCTCTTAAGCCCCTTCAGAAGCGTTCATCTCCCCAAAAGGACTCCCATGTGTGTCTCGATCCTCAGTGTGTCTCACGCATTACCAAAGGGTTGGTTTCCTCAGCATGTCCACATGGGAGACAAAGATGGACGCCAAATGGGCGCTAAGAGGTTTCTGCCCGACGTGTTTGGAGGAAATGGAATCTGAGGAGACGTTTGTGTCTGTATCTGTACCGAAGTGAGGGAAACACGTGTGCTATCACACATCTCCTGCGGTGGATATTGGGTTTGCATGGCGAGGTCTACCGGAGGTGTGTCCTGCAGATGTGGTCCAGCGTCTCGATGTGCTTCTGACTGATGCCGTCTGTCTCAGCAGCCCAAATGCCTCCATCGTTCTTCTTCTCTCTCCACTGGCTCTCTGTGAACACACATGGCGCGAAAACCAACACTATGATTTCTTCGCGTAGCGCCGACATGCGATATTTCCTAGAGTGGAGGAAACACTCGTCGTACCCCAGTTCTCCTGCATGTCGACAAGGTTGGAGAGCAGACGTTGGTGGTAGAGCTTCTCCAGCTGCAGGAACTGGATGGCCCAGTGGTCTGGTAATGGTGGTCGTTGGTTAAGAAGTCAGACACTGAAGTAGTAGTTACTTAAAATAGTAATATATGAGAAAACATCCCTCCAAAACAAGAGGGCAGCAAAGTACATGGAAAAAAAGAGGTGAGATAATGAAGAGGTCAATTAGAAGCTCCACTCAATTGTTACGTGAGATAACATCAAGGAGAGGCAGAGGAAAGGGACCTTCAGCCAGCAAGGGAGCCACCATGGATTGAGATGCTGCCGAACATTTTACAAGAAAAGAGGAAGCCAAGAAATGAACTATCAAAGTATAATATTATACTATTATAGACTAGTTCTTTATACTCGTTTTTCGATGGATCCCATTTGCTCCATTTGATGTTTCTGTGGTAATGAAAGAAACCTCGTCCGTTCTCTTCATGGATTCAAGCTCTCCTGATCCCTGGACGGATTACACGCAGTGAATCAAGAGAACAGACCTCCTCCCTGCGCTCACCCGTAAACACACACCGGCCCTGTTGCCTGAACAACGGCGCACACAGAGGAACTACTCTCAGCCCGTGTGCGACAGAGAGACAAAAGAACGGAGGGAACATGACGCAGTCACAGAAAAAACATGAATAAAAGATGGTTTCCCTCTGGCATATTTATTAACATTTCCACTGCACAGTGCCTCTTTGATTATCAGATCGCCGTCATCAGACCGACAGGCCTCTAACAGGAGAAACATAAACTTGTGAAGTAAATAATCTTTTGCACTTGCGTCCCTCACGGGAACAGAAACACATCAAAGCTCTTCCTCCCTAAAGTGAATAAATGTTTATTTAATCATAGCATACTACTTATTTATTTTATAGTAAAAGGGGCAGAGTTCAAACATTGTCACCACTTGTTTTACTACCAGATACCAGGTACCAAATTATAGCTTCAGTTCATTTGAATCTCGTAACGGAAAAATGTGCGTAACCCTTCAAAATGTTTCATTGAACGAACAGGGTTATAAACTGCACATGCTGGGATGGTGTGGCCATGAAGAAGAAGTGAGCTGGAGTGTCTCCCACCGTGGACACGTAGTAGAAGTTTGGTTTGGAGGCCACCTGTAGGTAGAAGAACTGCCTCTCCCTGTAGAGCCTTATTCTTATCTTATTATTATTATTCGTATTCCAGCACTATTGTGTTAAACCTCCATTCTCTGCAGTGACCACCAGGGGGCGACTCCTCTGGTCCTATAGAAGTCTATGAGAAAATGACTCCTCTCTTGTTGTGGGCACCCTGTTGCAGTCTACGGTCACAATGCATGAACACACACACAGATGAGGCCACTGAGTAAGGATACAGTCCTCCTTGAGCGAGTAGGCCTCTGCGATCTGAAAGAGAAGATCATTGATTAGCACACCGACTAGATTACAGCAGACAGAATCACACATTATTTGAGTTACTGCCATAGTGTTTTAGCACTAATCTCACCAACAACCTGTGCAGCTTAAAAGCACACAGTGATATTACACAAAGCACTGAGAATTATGAAACAATGAAACGTTTTGGTTTAAAGTCACATCTCATATCAAGAGCCGGAGCCGTGCAGACGCCGAGCATGTCACATGCGACTAATCATGGTCCGGATTATTCTCCTCCTTCCACACCCAGTAGACCAGATGCACATCCTCACATATTCTCCTGTGATTCCATACTGGTTGTTTTCATTGTCAGCCAAGTTTCTCACTGCTTTCTTGATTTTGTTACATGAGTTATAGCTGTAATATGTCAAAGGAGCTTCATGATTTCTCAGAGTGGAACAGGAAAAGTTGGATGCATCACACTTGCATAGAAAGGTTTCCAATCCTTGCAATTGAGCACCTGGAACCACAAAGCATGTGTTATTTTGTGTAAGATGCCTTCATTGTTCATATGCGTATAACAAGCAATATTAAACAATGATGTTCATCTCCTCATGTGCACGACACCTGGGATGTAGTGAAGGGAGCACAGACAAAAAGTACTTAATGAGTAAATGCACACTTTAACATTTGCATTAAGCTATAAACTAACTGGTATTAGTGTTCACATTTCTAACCAAATCAATGAAGAAAAGAAAAGCAGAGTGACTGATTATGGCGGTCTGTTTCCTACACCGTGACAGGAGGGTGTGGGTGAAGCTGGCTGGCTAACAGTAGCACGCCTCTTCCTCCGTGTTTGCATGCTAGCGCTGCACTGACGGTGAGTGGCGGTAAGGATGCACCGCGCGGGACTCACGGTAACGGCCCCGATTGCTCTGCATCGCCTCTCCTTTGTTCCCTGGTTACTGGACAAAAAACGTCTCTTTGAACACCATAGTTGTGATGTAGGGGAGACTTATTAGACACGTGAAAACACGCACAGGGTTGCCAGTTTAAATCCCTGCACCTGCGTTGTAAAACGGCTGCAAAATGTTACAGTAACGTTCACTGACGTTTCCTTGTTGGATTTTCAGGTTGAAGCCTTTAACACTAACAAACGGATCCATTTGAGACACACCAGCTGCAGGGTCATATGTGTGTCAGCTTACAGAGGGTTTGGAATGAGGTCACACGGGAGGACTGACACACACACACACAGACACACACAGACATCTGTCTATATAAAGACATGTTCCCTCAGGGTTGGGACACAAAATGCCTCCCACTCGCTGCCGCACCGAGACGCTCACCTGGTGCAGGGAGCGTGGCAGCGTGGTGTAGTCGCTGGTTTCTCTGAGCGACTGCAGGGAGGCCAGCAGCTCCGGGCCCAGCGGTCCATCTCTGGAGGCGCCGCCTGCAAACAAACAAATATTATACTGTATATAAGGCTGCAGCACACGGCTGCACTGGTGTGTCAACTCTCGTCTGTTTTTATGTCCTCTGCCAGTGATGGAGACGTCTTCTTGATGGTATAACACATATTCTTTCTACAGTAACTTAAAGAAACACACCAGCTATCTAACAGTCAGTATGTATTAAGGAGTATTAAGGCTGTAAAAACACGTGTATAATAACAGTTTGGGACTAAATCAGTGACTAAAAGTCTGGAAATGTGTATCTTGATATCTTTTTTTGTTAAATTTGATTATTCTTTGACTCATCTTTTCATTCTATCAAAACAAGCAGAATCTCAGTGTGACAGGATTACACACTTCTCCCTCCTTTGCTTTGAGTCGACATCTGGCACTAAATCACAGTGAGACATTATGGCGACGTCCAGAGGAGAATGAAATACCTGTGGCCAGTTTGTTTCCTCATTGAGATGAAGTTCAGGGACGCGGTGTGTGAGGCAGATGCACAGTAACTGCACGGAGCGTTTTCGTGAGGGATCCTGTGATTGAAGGACGATCGTGGTCCATCACTGATGGAGACTGATTGTTTATGGCCATTGAAACACTACATTTAAGCTGCTTTTGAAATCCAGCTGCTTCCTTCACATCCACTGGAGAGGGGTTCGTTGGGATGTGGTGAGTAGCGTTTTCATAACCTCACAGCTTGGCATCGCCCCGATCATTTTAAGCTCTGTTTTACGGCAGTTTGTGGTAAACTGAGGGACGACGGACGTTTAGATGACTGAGTGATGTGTTTTTGAGTCCACACTAGCTGATACTGCAGGGAAAGCAACACCTCAGCGGCACAAGCCCACTAATCACACGGCAGTCATGCGTTGGATGAAAACAAGGTGAAGAAGCGTCATTTTACCCGCGGCCCCGTCGACGCAGAGCCCTTCCTCTCTCTGCGCTGCCCCAGGGTCGGGGCCTTTCGGTGGGATGGTGTTCTTGTTCCCCATCACCTCCGGCGCTGTGCCAATCCTATCCTCCAAGTCGACGTTCCCCAACGGTTCCTCTGGGACCAGAGGGGCTCGGCGTGGTCTACGGTTTCAAGGCCTCCCTGGAAAAAACAAACATTTCCCTGACTTTTCATCGAATGGACTTGCGAGAGTAAAAGGATCATCACTCGTGACGGAGCATGTGATTTAATCCTCCGTCGCCTCTCCTGGGTGGAGATAAAGAGGGGGATTTGGAATGTCCACCATGGTCTGTAAAGAGTGGCAGTCGAGGAGGATTTGTCCACTCCAAGCTGGAGCGTACTTCAAGAGAGAAGGTATGGGCCTCACACAGGATGCTCTGAGGACATGTGAGCAGAGAACCCAGAGTGGAAGCAAGAAGAAGCAGCCTTTGGTTAGTTGCCTGACTGAAAGGGTTTGTGTCCGTTGAGGCGCGTCATAATAGTCTGTGGATTAGAACAATGAGCAATAATCCATTCGCACATGTTCTTCTAACAGACAGGAGCTTTGAAGGGCATGTGTGCATGTGACTTATGTCCATTCCATAAATTTGCCCTACAGACACGGCCTTGTACCCAACAGGAGGCCGTACAAGCCGCGCTTTGTGCTGAACGCCAGCAGGCTCCCCACATTTCTGGCATGCAGGTTTGACGTGTACTATCTTCACATTTTAGTTTAGCGTGTTAATATGCAAACCATATATCACACAATACATCCTACTCAAGAACCTAAAGCTTTTATTTGTCCTCTGGTAACAGATTTGGATATTGCATCTTTAAAGCCACGTTGTGTGTGCTCACACTCATGCGACCTTGCTGTGGTAACAATTGTTAAGATTATTGACACTTATTGACATTATTGTGACGCTTTAAACAAGAAGCAAACAAGTTTTTTTATTTGTAAAATTTTCCATGAGCAGCACAGAGAGATTTAAAGGTATCAGATATCATCCCAAAGTCTGTGAGCCGAGCTGGAAGATGCTCAGTGGCAGCAGGAGAAACACTAATGTGTGTTTCATTGGACAATAACACAGGTGCCAGGCGAGAAATTCCCATTGGACTGAATTGGAACCATCTGGGGTTCATTATCCAGTTCTTCTATATATGTGGAATAAGTTCAGCAGCAGAGTAAGACATCTCAAGCTGGATATCCTCCGATGAGGTACGCGTTTAGTGTCTTGTCTAACGGCAGCTCGCCAGCGTTCATTTATGGCGTTTGACAAAAGGTTCATCGGGACGAATGACCTTTACTGGGCCCTCTTCCCAACCTTAAACCTGCCCTGGGACTGTAATTATTGTTATTGGTATTAAAGATAGCAAACACAGAAATGTCTTGTTTCATCTTGTGCTTCCAAGCACTTCTTAGTCGATAGGTCGCTTATTAAATAAGTATTGTGGCTTCAGAGGTGTTTTGCTGTATAACCCTAACCCCCTCAAAAAATCCAACATGGCGGAGAGACGTTCACTCAGGAATCCGACATGGTCCGCCATGTTGTTCACTCAGGGGGCGTGGTTAACCACCGCCAGTTCCTATGTATTGTTACGAATTTGTATGTTCAAGATTTTCGTATCCATGTTTACCAACAGGTTTTGGAGACCACGTTGGTCTGTCGTGGAAACCACAGTGAAAATTGCAGCATTTGCGCAATTAAGCGCAATTTTATACAAAATACGGTGAATTCCTCGCTCAGTTGGTGGAGGTTGAATAGACAACAGCTGACGCACTGTAGATCAACCCGTGTCCGCTTTGTGACAGCTTGTGTTCCAGGTGAGTGAAAGCCGTGCTCGCTCAGTACGTCAGCGGCAGTCATGTGAACGCTGTGAATCTAAAGCACAAATGCTGGGAGCGCAGAGAGGCTGACTCATGTGCGTGGGATGAAATTAAGGATGACGCTGGCGAGGCTTCTCCTGTGAAACGCCAGGTAAACCTTTACCTTATTCTACTATTCTATTCTGTATTCTATTGACTCGTCGCAAGACTAGGAAAGCAAAGTCCTTCACCATTCCTGACTCAGTACTTGGTAAACGTCCCCATTCGGGTGTTTTCTCAGGCTACTTAAAGCAAACACATAATCTTTTTAACAACCATTTTCCAAAGCAGTTAGTCTGATAAAGAGTTCCTTTGTAACAGATACAGAGAAACGTGCAGAGAAGGAATAGATACAAAATGCCACTGGACGCTGGTCGTGCAGAAGCTACCATCATCGGGCCAGCTGACCGTTAGCTTAGCATAAAGGCTGGAAACAGCCAGCCTGCCTCTTTCTCCCTGTATCATCACACTAACCCAACGGCTCACAAATAGTCAACGCCGTGATTTGCTTTAAACCCACAATTTGTGCTTCTCACTTTGGATACTAGTGTGAACCTGATGCTGGTAAGCAGGCCAGCTGCTTCCACATTTCTGTTATTTATGCTATTATATACATATAAGCTAAGCTAACCGGCTACCGAGTTTTTTGATACTGAAAAAACTCCTTCAAACCCTCATGTTCTATTTATTGACGTATTTTATATTGCAGAACAGAATGTTACAATGTGTTACGCTTCTGTTATTATTATTCTGAAATTAGAAGTGGAAACACTTTACAAAGTAATGAGCCAAGAATGCATGCTATTAATTAAGTAATTGATGGTAATTAAGATGAATATACTGCCCTCATGTTGAGTCGGGTTCCCAGCATGGAGGATGCGTTCATGACTCTACGTGCAGTCGGACATTTCACAACCAACTGCGGGCACTTTTGCGTTGCGTGGTAAAGCTGCTCCGTGGTTATTAAAGGTGCGTGCGCGAAACACCGCAGCAGCACCGACCCTCTCTGCACGCGCGTTATTGCGTCACATGTCATAGGAGTTAACGGAGCGTTGTTGCGTCACGTGTCATAGGAGTTAACGGAGCGTTATTGCGTCACATGTCATAGGAGTTAACGGAGCGTTATTGCGTCACATGTCATAGGAGTTAACGGAGCGTTATTGCGTCACGTGTCATAGGAGTTAACGGAGCGTTATTGCGTCACATGTCATAGGAGTTAACGGAGCGTTAAGCGTGCACTCACCGCTGATGTCCCCGCAGCGTGGCGTCGTGCTGTCGGTTCTCCTCCGTGTCGTCAACACAGGATGCACATCAGCCTCTCTCTCCCTTCCCCTCTCAGTCTCTGTCTCTCTGTCTCTCAGTCTCTCTCCCTGTCTCTCTGTCTGTCTCTCTGTCTGTGAGTGTATTCATCTCAGCGGGGGGCGGCGTGGTGGCTCCGCCTGTCGAGGTCCCGGGTTCGTGTCCAGGTCCGGGGGGGACCCCGACGCCCGATGTCAGCTGGGACGCGCTGTACAAGATGACTGATTGGCCGTGTGGCGTTACGTCGCCATCTTGTGGCGGCTGTGTCAAACTGGCCGCTGTAGTGACGTAGGCGCCGCTGTGGTGACGCAGTAACAGTGAGCACGCGCGCCATCGTTGCTACTCAGTCACATCTCAACAGATCAGGGAGAGTCCTGAAAGAAGGACTTCCTCACAGGAGCAGTGTGACGTCAGAGTGATGACAGGTGGTGACGTGACGAACATCTGTTCAGACCAGATGACATCATACACACAACATCTGCAGTGAATAACACAAACTATTTTAAGGTAAGGAATGGTTCCTTTGTATGTTTATATATATACTACTTGTATATGTGTGTGTGTGTGTGTGTGTGTGTGTGTGTGTGTGTGTGTGTGTGTGTGTGTGTGTGTGTGTGTGTGTGTTACCTTTATATGACTTTAACATGCTTACATTTGACACAAGACGTTCTGGCTCCTCTGCACAAAGAAATTGCACAAAGATTCCAAACTTTTCAAATAAATGTTTCTTATTTTTTACTAATATTTTGACTTAAACCACAGGCCTACTAATGCATGAGACCAATATTCATCCGTAATAAGATGTTAGATGTTGAAACAATCGAGCAAATGTGATGAAAGCATATATTGCTTTATGATTTAAATCCTATTAAATCAAATCGAACCGTTTGTCTGCAGACACAGAGCATAACGAGAGCTGAGATCATTTATTCACAGTCACTACAACATACTGGATATGTTTCAAGATTCCAAATGAAAAGAATCGTGTTTATAGTTGCATTTAGCTACATACAAAATGGCATATTCCCTGTTGGAGACCAAACGTCCTCGTCGAGGATGAACAGGAGCGACTTTACGGCTGTGTAATCCGTCCACTTCTCCCAGAGTGCTTTAGGAACTTGCTCTTTTTAAACACAATAAACAAAAGCATAGAAAATGCTAATACATGTATGTGATCATATGTAGTGTGTTTCTCCTGAGCTAAAGATGCATGTTAAAAAGAGGCGTGTGAGTAACCTGCACTAAAGCTGAGTATCTATCGTAGTTCTATCCAACATCAAGAGTACTGTGAGGTAATGAACCCAAAGCCGACGCAGATTTCATTACTTCTCTGCTGGAGGAGCAATATTTGCCCCGTCGACACACAGAAATCTCCTGTTAGCATTAAATGCTGCACTGAGCTGAAGTGTCGCTTTTAAAACACTCTACAATGGGTTTGAAATAAGACTAAAATATACATAAGGGTATTTTATTAAGAAACAGATCTGCAGTGAAACTGAATAACATGAAGGATTATATTTGAGGTCATGATGTTTTTTGACATTGGGCCCTTTGTAAGAAGCTCTGACGATTAACCTCCCTGTGAGCAAAGACGACGTGAAGCACCCGCGCAGCTCAAGGGGATCAGAGGTAGCGTGTTGGAAGTGTTCCTCGGAGTCTGGGGGACAGAAGAGCTTTTAACCGCTGCTCGCCGTGAGTCATCTCAGCTTCCCGTGCAGCCTCTCTCCTCCGCTGCGTTTCCCTTTCCTAGTGCCGGAATCACGGCAGGCGGCCATCACGGCGCCGGCCTTGCAGAGGTGGAGTCTGGCCTGCAGCCGGGCTGTCGCCTCTTCGGGGGCCTCCAGGCGCTGCAGCGAGTTCACCTCGAAGGTCTGCCGCGGGTCGCCTGGAGGACAGTGAGGTTCAACGCGTGGGTTATTATGGGCGGGAACTTTGAGCGTCAATCAAGTCATCTTCTGCATTCGGGGAGGACTGGAACCGGTAAATTGTTTCATTTGTGTGTTCTGTAGTGACACCAAGTGGAGAATGAGCGACTATTCAGAATAACAGGAAGTACATCGTGACCATGAACACCTTTAAGCTCGCCATCATCATAACCCTGTGATTTATATTCCTCTTTGCTACTATTTACAGTTATATTAGCATATTTATGTTGATGTTGGTTCTCTGTCATCTACATGTGGATGTGTTATTAAGTGCTACAGCTCAGTGCTAAAGTAAAGAGAATGCACTGTGTATTTAGTTTTTTATTACATGTACTGAACTACTGTTATCTGATAAACTATAGATATCATTTGTACTTATAAAGAACTTAAGTTTTACAAAATCAACATTTTCCTGCATTAAATTCTGCCAAATATTCCTACCTGTCTGTTCCCTGGAGACTACGGGGCAGACAGATACATGTCAAGCTGGCTGTATAGCTAGAAACACGTTTTCTTCAAACATCTTTTAGCGAGGACAGCACACTAGGGTACAAATCTCTTTTTATTATTGTGGGTTTCAACTTTTTGGTTATTGTTATTCTCACACTAAGTTGTGGCTGAAGCAGCATTTCGAACAGAATTATTGCAAAGGACCAGTCATTAGTCACTGGATATTAGTAGGCAGAACCTTACTGTCTGGGGTAATTGTATTTATTGTATTGTTGTGTATATATATATATATATATATATATATGTATGTATATGTATGTATATATGCATGTTGAAAGGGAAACGTGCATAAAAGCGCCACAGTCACTGAGTACAACAAAATACATAATATGCAATATTGGAAAATACAATTACTGAGGATTGTGGATATTACCACGGTAACGACAGGATGCTGCGCCCTATTAAAATGTTTTCATGCTACGATCTCATTATTTGCTCATTCACTGAAAGTAGCGCTTGAACAATGCGTAGCATCGAGTGGGATATCACATTGAAAGCCTTAGAATGAGCGGTTTGGATCTACGGGTTGGCTCGTCTCTACGGAAGCGGAGGGGATAAACCAGACACAATCTATTTACAGATTACTTTCATGGTGTCTCCTCCTGGGTTTTATGTATATGTTGAGGAATTCTTCAGCTTTGGGTTTGGACTACTAGCCAAAAGAAGCCTTTGGAGAGAGTACAACGGGCCCTAATCATAAATCATTAATTCATTGTGAAAATAAATCACCGGTAATAATTCATCGGCGGAGATTTTCTTAATTCTCTTCTCCATCAAAGCTTTTTTAACACCACCAAATAGATATAACTTTACATTTTGTATATGTTAAAAAAACTTCCTGTTAATTCATTGCAATATTCTAAACATTATAAAAGAAACAACCATCACTGTGCATGTTTATTTCCTCGATTGAATAAAAGCAGACTGACCCTCTTGGGTCCACGTGAGGTTGAGCCCGTCTGGTTCCCCCCTCAGGTCCTTGTTTCTGGCTCGGACCTCTGAGATCCTCTACTGTCGGTGCTCCAAGAACTTCCGCCTGGCACTGAAGCGTGCCGTCCCCTGGAAACACCACGTGCATTAAGGTTCATGCGGCCCAGAATCATGAATGAAATATTTTTCATATCTTTTCTTTTTTTATGGGCTCAAGGTGCGCTCCAGGTGAGTTCCCCTCTATTGGCTCTAAACCAATCACACGCCGTGAAAGAGAATCATTTCAATTTGTCTCAAAAGGAGGGCGAGTTCCCTCAATGGGAAAACTAATGTATGTCCCCACATCATGAGTCAAACACGCACACACATCACGGGTCAAACACACACACACACAGACACACACACTGCTTTTGCGGTTGAATGAACAGCAGCTCCTCCCCAGTCTCTCACCACACACTGATAAACGGCGTGTTAGAGCAGGGAGGACACGGCCGGGGGGGTGAGACAGATCTGTAGACCCCCAAACGGGTTTACAGGAACCCTCTCAGCTTCTATGGTCAACGGTTCTATGGTCAAAACCTTTTCGTTTGGATGGGGAACAAAATGAAATCTCTACATTTGAGATCTAGAGTGGAACACACACTACTATAACTATCACACTGCCCCCCCACACCTCCCAATCCCTTCCCCCCGTCCTCCCGATGTTGCCCAGTGAAAACCAGTGTTATTTCTTCTAGAATCTATTCATTTCGCGTGCAGTGTCCTTCTTTGTTCTTCGCTGCAGCACTGACCCAATTTCCCCCATGTGGTCATTAAAATTGCATCAAAGTTGCCGTCCCTGAGACGGCTGGAGGGGGGTTAGTCCCATGAGGCCCCTCTCTTCACGGGGACAGTACGTCAGCATGTGCATCACAGTGGTTTTCCAGCCGATATCAACTCCGATGGTGAGGTAGCATCTTTCATGAAGCGTTTACTCCCCAGGGTCAGTCCACAGAGCAACATGCGGCCCACCTTGGTTCCGTAAGGTCACGTGTTGGCAATAAGATGTCTATAGAGGTAACTAAATATATGCATGACTCATTACCAAAGACTGGGTCAGGACCCACCGGTGGGTTGCAGGTTTTTTTATTAGGATTGCCAAATACATTTGCCGAGACTCGTCCATGGACTATTTAACATGCATGTCTGCTGTACACTTTTGGTCACATGAAGTCTGAATGACTGCAGACTACTGATTTCTAATATGACAAGCTAGCATACATGATGTCGTTAATGAACATGAACAGAGTAAATTAAAAGAATATCAAAATGTATTATTTGATCTTATTTAGTGTCTAACATGTGTATAAGTATTCAAAAGCAAGCGCATGAAGCAACGTCGTGAGCGTACACCGCTAACATAACTGCTATAAAGAGAATCAAGTTGATGTGGGATTGACAGTAAAGATAGTTTGGAAGAAGAAACGCATGGATACAGGGTTGATAATTGGGTTGCAATGTTTCAAAAACACGAATGTAGAAAACCTAAAACTCAAGGAGCCTGTTTTGCATTTTTAGTGGAAGTCTATTTTATGTTTAAAGCAGCGAAATATGAAATGTTTACTGACATTTACATTTTATTTACACTCAAGCTACATACCGCAGGTGCCTAAGAATTAAGGTTTGGGCTGAGTTAGCTTGTAATTGTATGAGCTTTATGGGTCGGAGATTTGTTAACCTTAGAACCAACTGTCAGAAGGCTTTGATGGCGAAATGACAAGGGCCTTTTTACAAACCTGATGCCAAAATAAAGCAAGGGGACAAGAGAACAGAAGAAAAGGCCGTGTGGAGATCTGTTGGACCAATGTTGCTCTTTACGTTGGTTGCAAAAAGAGATTTATAGAGGTCATATTTTACATAATGCCCTTTAACCTCTAAAAATCAAAATAAACACAGCACCTGCTTGCCAGCACCTGCTCTTTTCTGCATCCTCAGCACATTGTCGATCTCATACACCTTGATCTCATAGGCCTCTGGGGTCCCCCGATCCGCCCTGCCAGACTGCGGACCACTAGCCGAGCGTCTCAGGGAGAGGGGTGCATCGTGGGAGAGGCGGCGCTGGTGTGGACCTACAGCGGGGCGAGGGAGAGAGTGCAGTGAGACGCTGGATATTCTTCTGACTGGTTTCCTTTCTCTTCTCTAGTTTCTTAAACGGCCTCCTTCAGATACACAGTGTTGAGATGTTCTTCACTAAATACCCAATCAAACTGCATTCAAGTAGTTTTAATTCTGTCATGTTCAACTGCCGGTGCAGGCATTGACGTGGATACTGAAAGAAGTCTATTTCTCCTAAGTGGCTTTTCAATGCTGAGGCCTCTCTGCTCTGATGGGGAATAGAGAAGAAAGATCGCTCGGGGGGAATGCAGCTTGCAGGGCTACCATATTATTCATAAGTCAAGACAGGAGACGTGGTTCTTTTCTCTGTTTGCAGTGACTCACTTTGTCAGTGAAGGAAAAAATGTTTTTTGGTTTGTGTTAACAGGATCCATAGAAATTAAAGTTACTTAAAGTAACCATGGTTAATTTTTGCGGTTCCAGTGGACAAAAGGGGTAGTATTGACGATCATAGGAGTCACGAAACCTCTCATTTAACTCCAACTCGCTCAGTGCTGGCTCCGGTTTTACCAACCCTCCAGCAATGCAACCTGGGCCTCCAGAAGCATGATGTCGGGGCTGGCTCCTAGGGCTGGCTCCTAGAGCTTTCTCCTAGTGCTGGCTCCTAGGACTTGCTCATAGGCCTGGCTCTTAGGCCTGGCTCTTAGGCCTGGCTCCTAGGCCTGGCTCCTAGGGCTGGCTCCAAGGCCTGGCTCCTAGGGATGGCTCCTAGGGCTGGCTCCTAGGCCTGGCTCCTAGGACTTGCTCCTAGTGCTGGCTCCTAGGCCTGGCTCCTAGGACTTGCTCCTAGGACTTGCTCCTAGGACTTTCTCCTAGGCCTGGCTCCTAGGACTTGCTCCTAGGACTTGCTCCTAGGCCTGGCTCCTAGGACTTGCTCCTAGGCCTGGCTCCTAGGACTTGCTCCTAGGCCTGGCTCCTAGGACTTGCTCCTAGGCCTGGCTCCTAGGACTGGCTCCTAGGACTGGCTCCTAGTGCTCATGTTAAGGCATCAATATTAAATTGAAACTTGCAAAACGTTCCTTGTAGTAACTTTAAAAATGTGTTTTAGCTCTAAAGAAATGGTTAATGCTTAATTAGAATTCAGGTGAGCTAAATACGTAAGGGGACACTTAAGTACAGACAGAATTAAATCTTTCAATTAAGTAGAATTTGTTTGTGCGGCTTTTATTGCTCCATTAGCAGTTTGGCACGTTGGACGTTCCTCAATGTATTATTCCATTAGTATTAGCAAGTATTATTGTTAGTATGCACACACACACACATCTTTATAATTGACTGTTCCAGCCAAACAAACCTTATTTTCTGCACTTGTGCTGCCATTAGAAAGCGAAGTCCCTGGATTCATATATTAATAATGTGACCTCCTACACAATTAAGCTTTTAATGCTTGCATTCCACAGATGTGTGTCAACTCTAATTTATGTCACATTAATATGTTAGGAGGGCAGTATCGTTGAGAAAACCTGCGTGGTTAAAGGTTTGGAAATGTTCTGTTGTAGATTATGTCTGAGGAAGAAGCAACATAAATTCTGAACTGAATTGAAATTTCCACAAGAAACACCGTTACACTTTTTCAAATGACATGATTTAGCATTTCAGCTGGTATTGCATTTGAGTAGCAGTGTTTCCCCTACCATTAAATGAGGGGGGTGCTCCCCCGGGCCCGAAAAATTACCCCCCCCCCCCCTCCCCCCTGAAAAAGAATGGCATTAAAAATATATATATTTTTAATTATATTTCACCCCACGCACGGCAACCGCCACCCCCTCCTAAAGTTGGAAAACTAGGGGAAACACTGAGTTGTAATCAGGATAGTGCAGGTTCAAAACATCAAATCATCAATATCTTTTCCACTAACTTACAATACAACAATAGTAAAAACATGCCATGCATCAACACCAGTTGAAAATGATTCCGCACTGAAAAACAATTATATAAAATATATGATTTGGTCTAAAATGGCCGGTTGAGACGTTGAATGTGGGTTTTGGCTTGAGACATTTGCAAACCTAACACCAACAACGTATGATACACTCAACACTTGGATGAAGTTGTGATCTTTCCAGAGGACGAAGTCATTCGGATCAGTTCATAAAAGGCTCGTTACAGAAGTTTTACCTGCGTTGCCTCTCCTCCGAGATGATCGGCTGCTTCGAGCCACACTGAGAAGAGAGCTGCTCCTGTTGCTGGCGGAATCTCTGTTCGAGATGGTGCTTCCTGTGGCTTCACTGTCCCTCAACATGCTGTCATACCCACTGCTCACCGTACTGTCCCTGTTTGAGAAATTCAGGGATGTCTTCCCCATTGCTGGTGGCAAATCTCCGCTCAACACACTGGTGGTGTCACTAGCGTAACCGCTCAGGTGATCAGGCGTTCGGGGAGCAGTTACCCGGCTGTAGGGCGAGGGAAGGGGGGTTATTTGCTCCAGTCCTCCTGAAGGGGGGCTGGAGGCAGTTTCCTTAAGCAGGTCGGAGATGCGGCCATTGGCAAACCCTTGGATAGCAGATTTTGTGGATGAGCCTGTGGAGCTTTGGCTCGGAGTGCGACTGATGGAGTGAAAGGACCGCGTGGGGGAAGATAGGAGGAAAGACGAGGTCCGCTCAAAGCTAACGGTTTTACAGTCTGGAGAAAGACTGGGACTGCGTTTGATGGACTGCTGCAGGCCTTTGTGGGGCAGGCTGAGGTTCTTGGTGCTGGGGGCAGACAGTCGACGGACTTTGGGGGTGGCCATCTTGAGTTTCCCAACAGCAGAAAGCTTTGAATGGGTATGCCGAGCAGAATGAGTTACAGGCTTTTCAGAAAGAAAGAAGTGATGACTGCGGTCAGTCTTAGGGTTCTTCCTGGGGCTCTTGCTAGCTCTTGGTAAGGTACAATCTCCCCCATTACTTCCATTATAACCTCCCATACCTGCGCCTTCAGTGCTTGCCTTGGAGCTCCCCTTAGAGCTCATGGAGGTGTTACTACTGCCTCTATTCAAATTTGGGAAATCTCTTGGGGTTCTCCCAAGGGAGTTAGTCCTGGTCGCCAGCTGTTCTAGTTTGGCACTGAAAAGTCGGCCGCTGTCCTCAATGGGTGACTTCGGCCTCCCACTCCTATAATCATGTTGATTTCTTCGGTTTGAGGTCTCAGACAAAGAGTCGACGCCGCTTTTAGAACCACTGCCAGGATGCTGTTTGGACTCTTTCCCGTATTTTCGAGGAGAGGAGACGTGGAGGCTGTGGTCCGCTGGGGAACGCTGCCTGCCCTGCCTCCTCTCTAGCGTTGCACCTGGGCTACAAGGATTGGATGACGTCACCCCCCTTGGGTCTCTGCGGTTGTCTGCCATGTGACCGTGTTGGTAGCGATCCGGATGGTTGGCATTTTGCCAGGCTCTAGGCAAGCTGCCTGTGTTAAAGGAAGCCGTGGCGGTTTCCTGGCAACCAGGTGAAACACCAATTCTCTTGGGGGCATTCCCAACACGTCTGGAAATGGTTTCGCCCCTCTCTGAGCCCGTTGGAGTGTTGGTGTAATAAACATGCTCCCTGTCTTCAGGGAGGCTCTTGTCTGATTGTCTCAGTCTCTTGCCACGCATTTGGTTTTCTCCAGTTTCATCGCGGAAAGCTGAATCCTCCAAGACCATCAGGTCAAAAGAACTTTGGCTCAACAATGTGTCACATGCTTTGTCAGGCCTTCTGCCATGTGTCGCCTTAGTAAAAGCATCACTCCTCTTCTCGAGAGCCTTCCTATCTTCTGGACATCTCACACTATTCCCTCGGAGCGCAGACTGTGATCGGACTTCTGTAAAAGTGTCACAAGAACTTTCCTTTTCTTTCAGACCATCAATTTCACAATCCACATCCGTATCAATCAGCATATGATTTATAAATGAAGGTAAGAACCTCTTTTCCCCTCTGCTTTGATACTGGGGCGTGTCAGTGTCTGCAGCCACAGATTGAGCTACAGAGCTTTGGTTTGTGTAAGATGATCCTGCGACTGCAGTTTCTTCGCTAACATTGCTGATTATCCTGATTGGTTGACAGCTGGAAAAGCCTTGAACATGCGCCTGTGATTGAGTAGTGTCTTTGATACAAATAATATTTCCACCTGCCCTCCCTCTGTCCAATGCCCCACTGATGGTTACCTCCTCCACCATCGAGAACACAAGTTCATCTTGACCTTTCAGATCTAGTGGTTGCTGGACGGTAACTGTGATGGTCGCCATCATCTCCTTAACGTCTCGGACTACAACACTGGCAGCTAAAGAGTGGGAGGAGGAGCATGAGGAGGAAGTAGATGTCGGGGAGCTCTTTCCAATTGGCGAGGTCCTGTTGTTAGGTTTGAACCAATCAGCAGCCTCACGGCTCTCCTGGGTCCTTTTTGGAAGGGGAGCAGAATCGGTAACAGCCGTGCCCTGAGCCTCCACTTTACAGCTCCTAGAAGAGGGTTTATCAGCTGACTTCAGAGTTTTGTTTTTGGGAAGCTCAGAGCAGCAGGTCACGTTGAAACTTAGAGTTTGATTTAGCAGTTCTTCACTGGAACTGGTTGCACTGCACTCCTCACAGTCATACAGGCCTGAATCCTCTCGCTGAAAACTGTCCCCAGGGAATGCACCATCTGTTGGCTTTTCTCCGACACAGGCCCGACTGCAGCCAGACCCCTGACTCGACAATAATTTATGTTGTGCGTCCGACGATTTGCTGTCTCGCTGTTTGCCTTCTTCTTTCTGGGGTTGTGGTCTTGCTGTGACATTGTCAACAGACGGGCCTTTTGAGGAAGACTTGAGCACGTCCGTTTTTGCCTCACTTCCATCAATGCAACCCAAGCGTTCTTGCAGTTCAGCAAATGTGTCACATTTAAAACAGTCCCTCCCCGGCTGCTTGATGTCTGATTTGAACACCTCGATGTTCCCTGGAACATTTTCCTCGTTCTTCTTTTCTCCCTGCAGCTGAGGAATTCTCAGAAGCTCTTGGAGCAGAGCAATGAACTCTGGGTCGTCTACATCGGCCTTGTTAGGAATCAAAGAAGGTATGATGGGCACAAATTCAGGTTGGGCCAATCTTGAGGTTGCTTTGGGGTGGACCAAGCCATCCGAGTCTATTTGGATGACTGTGTCACAGGACTGGTCGCTGCTGGAATGCTCATCCTGTTCACCACGCAAACGGAAACGAGGAACGTCGGCGTCCACCTCATCGGTGGAGTGGAACGCCCGCAGTGACGAGGACGGAGCCCCTCTCTCTTTGGTCAGGCTCCTGCCGCACGGAGAACATGAAGTGGACTGCTGTTGGATAGAGATGAGTTGTGGAGTTAGCTGTAGACCACAAAAACCAACAAATAAACCAACGGGATGCATCGTAAACAAAAACCTTTGCTAGAAAGGCACCCATACTGGAATGCCATTATAAGATGGCGAATGACTAAAAGGACGATACCTTTGTTCTCTTCTGCGTTCTCCGGATGCGAGACGCCAGCTGAATGGTAGATAGGGTCTCCTGAAGGTGTGCCATTGAGTCATCAACCTCAGCGATCACTCTTGTGTGGCAATTGACATGAGAAAGTGCTTCCCGAAGGAGCATCGTCAACTTACTGGCCCTATAAAGAGACATTCCAGACATTAATGAAAGGACGCATCAGTCATTTTGATCAATTCTCAAGTACTTTTTAAGCCAGTATAAAATGGGTTTACAGGCAAATACCGTATTATTTTAGAAAACAAGCTGTAAGACCAACAGCAAGAATTAACGTCAGCTCAATGTCAAATAATCCATGCAGACCACAGTACAGAATTGCCATAGATAATGTTGACGTTAATTAATATTTTGGAGGTAAATTCTTACTTGGCGGGGGAGGCTTTGGGTCCACTTAGTAGAGATAAGACAACAGGGCCCATTTCATAATACGGAGGTTTGTTCTTGCTCATACCCCTCATACCGCTACACACATCTATCAGGGTCAACTTTGTGGGGCCACGAGTACCTAAGCATGGAAGTCAGGGAGCAAAGCAACATGTAGATATAAATAGAACACATGAGCTACATAAATATATACAAGAAATTACACTGAATCAGGTTCAACTGTGGGAAATAATTCATGGGGAAAACAAGGGGACAAGCCTCACTGGTAAGTCAATAATTCATTAGAACCTTTGCCAATGGTGCTGCTCTCTGTACGGGGGGGTTGGACGTGGAGAGTGAAGAACATTATGGAGCTGTGCGACAGGTACGTAATGAAGTCATTGTGCCGACGTGCCGCAATCGCAGCGTCCAGCAGGGAAGCGGCTCGCTCCGCAGTGGGGGCCTTCACCCTGTTGTGGTTGCGTAGCTGGAGGAAGGAGGCAGGATGGTCATAACACATCTCACGTAGAATCTCCTCACACGATACGTGGCCAGAACACAAAAAGTATTTTAGAAATACACATACTACAGTAGTGTGTCCCTGGCTTGGGGAAGTGCCGTTGCAAAGATGTCACAATGCAATCCGATGTGATCTCCAATGGAATATAGCTTCACTGAGTCCTGGTGTGATTTCCTTGTGTAGACCTTTATCTGAATTTACTTTCTCAATAAACGTTCATATTAATTCTACCATAATTAGAGGGCGCTGTCAAAAATGAAATAACGGACACATCTAGAGCAGTGACACCTCCCACCGAAAATGAATGTGCAATACACATACTTGTGGGCAATGAAAATAGGCCAGCGTGGTTTCTTTGTCATATTGGTTAATTGTCATATTGGTTCACGGCTGTTAAAACAAATCAAATAACACGGTGAATCATCTTTAATACGTTGCCATTGAAGGAGAGCAAAGACAATGTCAGTTGTCAGCAACATGTTTCCAAAGATCGATTGGACTGTCCGTAATCGTACCAATAACAATAACACACCTTTTTAAACTCTAACTTGGTTTAAATGGTTAAACAGACCGACAATGTGGGTCAAGAACAGCATACAGGGAGAAAGAGACACTGCAGAAGCAACAGCTCATCCAAACAAGAGAAGAGCACTTTTTCCTCTTACCTGTATCCCGTGGACGGGGTCCTCCTGAGGTCTAATATGGGTCTTTGGGCTGTCCTGGACGCTCCCTACCGAGGGGACGACCTCCCCCAGCAGGTCCCTCACCGTGTCCTCCTCTCCGCAGCAGAGCTCTATGGCCGACACTGACACAGTGAGGTCGGTCCAGGTCCTCTCCCTCCGCCGCTCGATTGCGCTGTACAGCCAGGAGATGGCACAGGGAAGGAGCCCGACCTTCTGGATGCTCTCACCGCTCCCCACCATGCTGGACCAGGAGCCTGAGGCCGATGACAGAGCACACACATGCTACACATGGACAGAAACGTTCTAGCCACGAAGGCCTCCCACTAACACCATCTACACTCTTTCCTTTAAATACCGAAGGACCCATTTGCATGATGGGAGACAAAGAAACACTAATAACCTTCCTTGTGGACTGATACCATACATTTACGTTTTGAGCTATACGTGCCTGTTTTACAATTCTTGTCTTATCCAAACTCTAATTGAATGAGGAATGAGAGAATTGGTTTACTCCAATTAAAGGCCGAGCTGGCTGCCGTTATTCAGAGAGAAGCGTATTCTGTGCTGGAGATTGATGCCCCTCGGCTGGGGGCCACATGTAGTTTGTATCGGCCAACTAATTTAATCAGATTTACGGAGAATGGCGTCATGTGAAAAAGCAGCTCCAAGGAGACCCTGTCCTTACGCTGTGTGTGTGCGTGTGTGTGTGTGTGTGTGTGTGTGTGTGTGTGCGTGCGTGTGCAAATCTATTGAACCCTTCACCGACGCTAAGTGCAGGGTTCCATTTCTCTAATAGCAACGTATTACAGTCCATTCTGTTTACGGTCCCCTCGGAGCTCAGTGCTGCTGCAGCCTTTTGTGCAGTCACTGAAATGCCTTTCGGACGTTTGACAAGGCGCGTGTGATGCATAATTAATCAACAGTTATTTACACAGTAACATGTGAAAGTGGAATGACTGAATGGAAATTATTTTCTGTCACTATTTGTGTAAAAAGAAAGGCAGTTGTGGAAATGTGTGGAGTATCTTAATTGAGAAGAGGACAGAGAAAAGGGGATTTTAATGGATAGAGAGACAGAGTGGAAGCAGGACAGGGAAAGAAGACCAGGGGGGAGGAGGTGGGGGGGGGGGGGGGCAAAGACAGAAGCGTCCCACTCTCATCTCGAGATTTTAACCCGTGGCCCCTCACAGCCAACGATTACTCACCCACATCAGCACATCCCAGACCCAGAACGCATCCATCGCTGCCGCTGAGCACACAGCGGATGACATCAGGCAGGACGCCCGCACACACCTCGGCCTGCTCAGGGAGAACAAAGGACGGCGAGCATGTAATGATTCACCGCCCTGAGACGCCACATCCAATGAAATGAATGCATACCGATTCAGTAAATTCCCCTGGGCCTAGATACTGTAAGCAGAGCTGGAGTATAATTGATGGAGAGAGTAATTGTGGAGGCTACCCAGGCCCAGTGCGCTTTCAGGTCATCAGACAGAGAGCGAAAACCAACCATGGTGTACGGATGGGAAAGTATACATCGAATACTTGAGGAGACACAGAACGTGCCGGACGAATGCCGGACGAAGAACCGAACCTGGCTTGATTCTTGAGGATAGGCAGCGTCAAAGTTGAAGGTCTTCAGCTGGGTTTTGGCGTCCCTGCCAAGCGTCATCGTAGCTTGAGGCTGCGGTTCCATTATGGCCACTCGTCCCTTGGACTTGTCAACATGGACAATGCGTTGGTGGCCTGGGCCCTCCGACAGCATTGGGCTCACCCTCAGCGACACCACGACCTGTTCACATGGGAGATGGTGGCATGTTGAAAATGTTATGACATGTTAAACACTTTGGTCAGAAATATCTACACAACTATAAGATGGATTTGGTAACAATAACAATTTGGTGAAGACGTTCTTGTTTTTACGTTCTTGGAAAACAATTTTACCAATAGTTCATGACCAAATACCAACAAAACCAATGACATTAAAACACATGCAGCTGTACTGTGTGTTTTGCGCTAATTAGCACATGTTAGCATGATAGCAAACCAAAATAACATGGCAAATATGGTTATATAGGCTAAACATTCAGCGTGTTGTCATTGTGAGCATGCTAACATTTTAATTTTAATTTCTTAACTATTCAGAGACATACATATGAAAATAGATTTGATTATTCGTGAATACAAAGCGACATGTAGATATTTAAGTGATTTCAGAAGGTGAGTTTTAGCCGTCTAAGTTTGGCTCTTTAACGCACTTGCCTTATTTTTAAATTAGCTTCTCATTTTCCTGAACCTTTGAAATGTCTGAACCTTTAAACGGTTTCTCGTGCTTTATAGCCACCAAATCAAATACAAATGAGCTGTGTTTTTTAGTTTTTTTCATTAGCAGCCAGTTCATCCAGTTGGTGCAGAAATCTCACATGAACATGCACACATATACGCGCTATATCTCCACATGTCATGACATTAAAGCCTTAATGCAGCTCTCCACAGGAAGCCTTTAGATTCAGACGCTTTACGGTTTTAAATTAAGTTAGATTTTGACTCTGACAGCCATTTATAAATGATCGTATGTCTGCAGGAAGACAAGGCCAAATAAACCCCACAAACGAGTATACGCTCTATTGACGTAAACCATTTATTTATTTATTTATTATTCTCAATCAGGATCCAGGTCTGCCTGATTGGCCCCAGTGTGCCGCGACACCAAGTCCAATGCGGTTTTTCTGAAACTGTCCAGGGCTGAATTTCACCTCGGATGACATCATCCATCATGGACTTTTTGAATGTCTAAAAGCCACGTTGTCTTTAAAGGATTTTTTTCCTCCTCTCGCTTGAAATCACAATTGTAATACCTTATTCAAGAAGTGGCTCCCCTCACCCTTTGTGTCAAACTTTATTTATGAGGGTTGAATTATTCAAGCGACCCATTTTACAAGTGGAGAAATCCCTCTTTGCCCTCACATAAGTGTGTATATATATATATATATGTATGTATTCTGACACGGTTTGGCTGGTGGGGGGGGGGGGGGGTCTTATGTGTAACTAGACTCAACCCCAGAGTCCGTCTATCTGAGACAAAGTGAGCACACGCAGCCATATTGATCCCCCAGTTTGTCCCGGAGGAGGGGAGTGGAAGGGAGGGGGGGTGAGATGGAGACATTAGCACCACATTACAGTGTATCAGAAGAAGGCGGGATATAGGATCTCCTACAAATTGGCGTATCGCTTTACCCTTCCAGGATGGTGGAGGGCGAAGATGGTGTACAGCGTTTCCAACGATACACCAGCAGTCCAGAGCGTATTTAAACAGTATACTCATCAAGCCCGTGCCTTTGTCCACTGGTGTCCAATTGTCTCATAAGACACTTCATCCCAGATGGCCGTATTCTTCTCTGAGGATATGAAACCTGTGTGTGGTGTCCATGCTGTTTACATCAGGCATTGGCAGAAACCGGCTGTGTGCGGCTTCCGTTGTATACGTTTTACTTTTGGCCCGTCTGGTCTCCTTGGGTGCACGTCGGGGGCTTCTCTGTTTCTCTGTTTGACTGGCGAGCTACAAGCTTCCGTTTACGACAGTCACCACCAATAGCGGCGTCCTGGCGGGCGCACGGCTCCCGCCCTCCGCTTCCAACTCAGGCGAAAGTGTTGTTTTAGCCACGTTGAGCTCCGCGTCGACAGAACGGAGCAGATCATTAAATAACAGAGACCTTGAATGTTTACCAAAATAAATATTCATATTCAACTAGATTAACCCAAACACAAACGGAAAGTTGGGCTTTGACAGGGAATGAGGGGACATTTACCCCCCACACAGTTCCTATGCTGAGCTTACTGGTTACTGTCTGTGCCGCTCCTCTCGTGTCTCATGTGAGACATCAGGTACCAACGGTCCCGACCAACTCAGCAATAACAAAATGTCAAACTATTCCCGTAAGTATTTCATATTTGCCAATTTGTTATCATTATTATTGAGTATTTAAAGTACTGACAAGTAAAATATCCACTGTTATACTGATAACTTGACAATAATAATGTAGTTCTACAATTTCTCATTTGCAAATTTGAATTAGAATAACACATGTAATGAATTGCTGTAATTATTACAGATTGCACAGAAACCAAAGCGTCCTACAATATATCTACTGGAATTTGGAGCCAAACTGTGTACCTTGGCAACGGCGGGGGAGTCTCTGGTTCTGGTGGCAGCTTGGAGCAGGCAGGGGGGGACGGGCGGGGGGGTTTTCTGGATCAACTCCCTGAAGCAGGTGGAGGAGAGAGCGGGAGCTGGATCAGAGGCCTGGCCTCTTTTCCTCGATGTCAGGTTGAGCTTCTCTGCAGCCCTACAGGAAACAATCGACGCCATGTCATAACACTGAATCCCAGTGGAGACAACATATTTTATACATGCAGCATGTATTAGTGCTGGGCAACAATAACATAAAGAAATGTGCCATATATCGCATGATTTTCTGCGATAAATCGCATTGTGGTGCGCAAAATCCAATAATTAATTTTAAAACTTGTATTAATGAAATCACTTAAAATAAGGGGGGATTTAACGGCAGTATTCCCTTCACACCATATCAGTTAAAATATTTATTTTAAATTTCAACATAACTATTTAATCAATCAAATATGAATGTGTTCAGCACCACCGAAAACACTTTCAGTATTGCAGGTCAGTAACTTTGGTTACATCAACTCCACTTAAATTCAATTGAAAATGTCCATGTAGGAGATTTTCTACCGTTCTCCGCCAGTTACTTTCCGTTTCCATTCCAATTCCTAACCAGCATCCACCCCCACCGCCCTCCCTGTGGCCCGCGGCTTCTTTCTATGTGCATTCAGCGTCGGCAACGGACACGTTTTAAAAAACACAGAATAAATAAATGAATGCGTTAACGTCAAAGCGTAATAATAACGCGTTAACGTGGCTAGTCCTAAGTTACATATATATATTTACCTGGCTAAGAGGGACATAGCAGCCGTGTTGGCGATGGTGACCACTCTGGATATGTGCGGGATCTTTGAGGTCGTTTGTACGGTGTCCCCACGTCCCGCTGCAGCATCGTCTGCAGCCTGCGCGTTAGGGGGGGGGAGCTCGTTAGAAAAATAAGAAATCAGTAATTGCACTCCTGCCCCCACTTCACAACGGGCTGTTATCACAGGAATTACTCTGGGGACAATGATTGTGGGGCGTGTCTCTGTCGGCGGCGTCTAGGCCGAGAGCCCAGTGGCTTAAACAGGAACCATTATTCATATCAGCCGAGTTTCTCCTCTAGTAACGACGTTCACGCATGAACTGCTTCTGAGAGTCGTGGGAGAACTGCAGGAGTTCGTATGGAAGGAGAGACGGGCGCTTCGTGAATCGATGAAGCCGGAGTTAATACGGACCGTGTTTACATACTCGCCCACCAATTCATTTGTCTTCTTGTTGACTCGTACATTTTTTCATGACCTTATTTTATCCTCACTATCTTCCCTCTGCTCTCATTTCTCTGTGTTTTTATGCGTTTATTATCTCTTGTTTTTTCCTCTCCCACTCATCTCCACAGTTCTTTACTTCCATCCTTCCTGTCTTCCATCCTTCCTTCCATCCTTCCTTCCATCCTTAACTATTTCCTTTTCTCTGTTTCTGCAATAATCTTCCTCCGCCCTCCTCTTCCCTAACTCTTCTTCCTCCGCGCTGCTCTTCCCTTACTCTTCTTCCTCCGCCCTCCTCTTCCCTTACTCTTCTTCCTCCGCCCTCCTCTTCCCTTACCCTTCTTCCTCTTCTTCCTCCGCCCTCCTCTTCCCTTACTCTTCTTCCTCCGCCCTCCTCTTCCCTAACTCTTCATCCTCCGCCCTCCTCATCCCTTACTCTTCTTCCTCCGCCCTCCTCTTCCCTTACTCTTCTTCCTCCGCCCTCCTCTTCCCTTACTCTTCTTCCTCCGCCCTCCTCTTCCCTAACTCTACTCCTCCGCGCTGCTCTTCCCTTACTCTTCTTCCTCCGCCCTCCTCTTCCCTTACTCTTCTTCCTCCGCCCTCCTCTTCCCTTACTCTTCTTCCTCCGCCCTCCTCTTCCCTTACACTTCTTCCTC